TTCTAGAACCTCGACCGTCAGTCTTACAAGGTACAACTAGGTCACTTCGCCGTGTTCTCTGCTTAGTGATGCAGCCTGGGGCTCGCCGACAGTGCAGTACTAACGGCACACTATGGTGAAGGAAGAGGGGGCTCACTTGACGCCGGACGCAGCCTAATCGACAGGTCACATTCGTCCATGTTTCTGGATCTCGCGACCGTCATCAGAGGAACGGAAGCGCTACAGGACCGTTTCCGCGTCGATCCGCCCCTTCTCGGAAACGATGCGCGGCCATCAACGAAGTTCGTTCCTTCCCTGAACCGCCCATACCGAAAGGATTATTTGACGCGACAGTTGTGTACGCCTGCTAAACCTTTTTTCGTCAAAGCAGAGCGACTAGCCAAAATAAAAAAGTACTTGAACGTGGATCTAGATGCCAGCGATCCCAAGTACAATGTGCTCAGTCCAATGAGTGAAAGCAACCAGCTTCAACGCGTCGCTGGATCAGAGCATCGTGAGTTATCACCCATCTGTTCCATTTTAGCGTCGGCGGCACGAACCGCACTCGCATTGCCAGAGCCCGCGTCGGTAAAGTCGACCACCCCAAGTACGAAACCCTTCCCGGCCCGTTACAAACAACCCCGACCCAAGGCCCGCAGGATTGGGTCGTCCCAACTCGTGTTAAGCGTCACCTGTACATCGAAGACAGCTTGACCGGTTAAAGCAGATCCCCTGACGTGGAGGGAGGCAAGTGAGTGACTTGTTTGACACGGTGTCAATGCACATGCCCTGCAAGCGTCAACAAGGATCGTCAACACACTGCGAGCGCGTCTGCGGCCGCTTCTGCGGCCTCAGCCCAGCACTGTGGGTTAGACAGATTTAGGCGCGGGACAACTGGACCAGCCGAGGATCGTAGCAGCACTGATTGGCGAACCATTGCACCACCTGTTGGCTGGGCCTGGCGCACCTGGTTGTTGCTTGTGCTTGAAACTCTCGTCCCTCAAACTGCAGCCACTGTAGCATGAGTGGGCTTCAAGCGCGCAAAACAGTCGATGGCGTGGCAGTGCCTGTGTATGCATGATACAGACGACCGGCTGACAGCAGAACTATCTACCATGCACATTCACCCGTTCACCGCGATACTGCACCCCCCCCCACCTCCCCCTTAGAATTGAAAACCCGCCAAGAGCGTACCGAGGCATATAGCGAGTAGCGATGGGGGGAGTACGCCTAGAACTCTGGCTCAATGCTTGTGTATCAAGCCACTCTGACAGAATCGGTGGGTACAGTGTCGTGTCAACGAGAAGCCTGCCGCCACGCAAACGGCTGACTGAGTCCCGAGCATGGAGCTGTCAGATGAAGAGAGCCGCCAACGAACAAGTGCGTGCCATGTCTCACACGGATGCAAGACCTGCTGTTTCCCCCCTTGGCGTCATACTGTCGGGCTCCCTGGGCGACGGCGGCGGCGACAAGCGGCGGGGGCAGTAGGAAGGGAGGGAGCGGCTCGCATGCCATGACCGATGGTGTTTTGCCTGGTTACGGCAGGCCAAACAGGGAAGAAGCAAGCGGAAGATTGACAGGAGCAGCACCAACAGCATTTTAGCTCCATTTTCGCCCACGAGCGGCGCCTGTCGACCTGAATGCACCCGATTGCTTTCGGCGTTGCTTACTCAAATCCAGGCGAAAGCGGACAAGGCAGGGAGCGTCGTGTGACATGACAGCGACCTGGACTGACCTGACAGGTACACATGGCCTAGAGGCCCTGATAAACGGCAAAAGACGATCGCTATAGCTGCAAAACACACAGACCAGCCCAACGCATGGTATTGCTTTTGCGCCTGGTGTTGGTGCTGGACAGGGCCTCGCTGGATGAACACACGCCTGCTGGGCCGTGCGAATCGTCCTCTCCCTTCAGCGTGCCCGAGGCATGCAGACCTCGTATTTCTCTTAGTGCGGTGTCGACGATATTTGGATTGCTGTTTATTCTGGGATCAGGTGGACAACCTTGTGAGCTTGCTTTGTTTGTTGCCTTCCATGTGCTTGACGGCTTGCGGAAGCTCGCAGATTTTGTTTTCGTGGCACATGAGCCACTGGAGTCACGACGCACCCCCCTGGGGTGGCTCGCGGCGAGCGAAAGCATAGTGACGCACACCAACTACTTGCTACCCTCTCCCGTGGTCTGTTCAGCGCGCACCAGAGCCCCAAGAGGGCCGCATACGGCCTGGTGACGGTACCTTAGCCTGCCGGGCCTGGTTTGGGCCGTCACGGTGGGAAGGGATACTCCCGCATGGTCGCGACAGCGATTGGGCGGCACGACATCATCTGTCCGCCCTTCCCATTCCCGCAGTAGTCCCCGTCCACGCATCCGTTCTTCTAGGAGCGAGCACGGAGAGACTAGGGCAAGGCGAGACAAGGCGGAGAGACAAGGTCCCAGGATAAGCATGGACTTCGGGAAGCCAGCAACGAAGACCAGTACGGCTCGAGGCTGACGCGCAAACTGCACCGTACAGTCTGATGTCCTAGTGTCAAGGCATGGGTGCGACAATCAATGTTCGGCTTCGACAGAGCCAAGCCAGTGTGGCGTGAAAGAGCAGCTTCGTTCACAAGCCGACTCGAGTCGAGTCAACTGAGCCGCGACGGCTTGCTCCGGGTCGAACAAAAAAAAAACACAAAAAAGACTCGGATCCATTGTTGAGGAGGAGTGGGTGGACAGCCTGACGGGCGAACAGGTAGACAAAGCACACTCACTGGCCACCACGTCGAAGTGACTGAATGCCGACAGCAGCCAGTGAGTGTACGCCATCGCGCCTCCACCTGGACGGCGACGAGGGAGAACAGTGAGTGGGACCGGTCGCTGGAGGCTAACCCAACGAGCCGACCCCAGTCCTAGTCCAGTCTCGGCTGTCCTTGACCCTGGTGTTGGGTGGACAAGCGGGTTCCATCCAGCCCAAGCCCAGCCCGGTGCCACTTCCCTGCTGCATCGAAGTGCGCCGCGTACGGTACGGTACGGTACCGCCTGGCGCCTGCCACAGGTACCTGACCTCGCGGGCATATCCTCACCTGGTCCTTCCAGCCCACCACGATGGGACCCGACCTACGGGGGCAGGTGAAGGGGGAGGGGAGGGAAGAAGGGGGGGGGCCTGCGCTTGCACACGCACACCCACCCCACTACCCACTACCCACTGTCTGGTCACGTCCACAAACCCATACGTCCTTGTCCGCATGTTCTTCAGGTAGCCCCTTCCTAAGCCGTCTCCAGCTGTGCTCTGTTCCTCTCCTTGCTTTCTAAATCAGACTTGCAGACAAACCCCCCCCTCTCCACCCTTACCACTCACACACGCACTCATTCACCACTCACTCACTGCCTGGCACGTTCTTCGTTCTTGCCTGTTGTCCATTCAGCTGGCTCCCGTTGGAAATTGGACTGTTCGCCTGCCCTTGACGTGCCTTGCCTTGACCGTATGTTCTCTCTGTCTCTCTCTCTTCCACTCTCTTACTCACACACACACACACTCTCTCTCTCACTCCCTCTCTCTCCTCGCCCCTTCCAACTCTGACTCCTAGCGAACAACCTTTCACACATGCCAATTTAATACCAGGTCCACCTTCCTGCCTGCCTACCTGTCTGACTGTCTGTGCCTGCCAGGTTTTGCTCCCTAAGTCAGCGTTGGTCGGATATAGCCAGGTGGTAAAGGTAACCTGGCGGGCCCCTCCGTACCTGCCTGCCCTTGCTTGCGTATGGTACCTTGCTACTTAGGTCGACTCCTCTTTCCCCGATTACTTCTTGCGCGCCGTCCCTCCTTCCGCCGTCCCATCCCGCAGGAGCACCCTACCCTGCCGCCACTTTTCCCTGACGGTCACCCAAGCAGCACCAGTCAGCGCCAGCGGTCGCCCGCACCGTAATCAGCACTCCATACCCGTACCAGTACCCGTACCAGTACCCGCACCAGCACCAGTACCAGCACCTGTACCAGCACCAGTACCAGCACCAGCAGCACTGGAACCAGTAAAAGGAGGGACGCACGTACCGCCCCGCCAGCGCCTTCCTGCCTCACCCACCGCTGCTGCCACTTGTACTGGCACCCGCCCTCTAGCACTCGAGCTCGAGGGTCTTAACCTTGCCTCGCCTCGCATCTCACCTCACCTTCCATCACCGCCTCTTTTCTCCCCTCCACACCACGACCTCCGCCCACCCGCCGCCTTTGCACATCCACACGTCGTCAGCGTCAGAACCGCGACTCGGATTTTGACGACGACCATTTGGGTTTCCCGTGTCGGCCCCCAAAAACCTCGACTTCGCCTTTCAACCCCAGACAGACCCACGAGCCCGTGCTCGCTGTCCTCCGCATTCCTTGGATTCTGGCCGCCACGAGTCTGGAAACCCAGGGTTGCCGCATTGCAGACCCTCCTTCCACTCTTGTCTCAACCACCAATTTCCCACATTCCCCCGATCCTTGATTCTACCACATCTGACCATCGTGTGCGCCGCCGCCGCCGACGCCGCTGCCGCCGCCGCTTCACCTCGGACCGCTCCGAAAGCATCTGCTGCTTTCTTACGCCGTCCCTCACTCTCCTCCTCTCACTATTTTTTTTGGGCGCCTGTCGCACTGCGCGCGTTGAGGTTGCGCGAGCCTCTCGGACGGACCGCTGCTTCCTTGCAAACTATCGTCAGCTTCGGCATGCCCTTTCATGCCCTTGCATAATTAGCATTTTCCGCCCTTGAACCAAGAACATCGTCGCCTGCAAGTCGACAGTTGCGCCTGCGATCCGCGCACATCTCACTGGCATCGCATCCCTCATCCACCACTATCACTGTCGCCCTCCGTCATCATCATCACTACCACTACCACTGCAGTTCTTACTATTCTCAGCAACAGTAGCTACAGAAACAGCAACGGCAGCAGCATCCGCGCCCTTGGACCGCTTCAGTGTGAGGAAACTCCATCTTCACTTTCGTACGAGGCAACGCGCCGGCCAGCCCCCCCACGCGCTGGCTTCTCCTTGGCATTTGTATCCAGAGCATGGCAGAGGAGCACGGAGGACGAGGGCAGCCTTCACATCACAGAGAAGACCCTTCATTTGCGCGCGACGACGAGGCCCGCCAGAGGCTCCACCACGCAGGACCACCACCACCTTCCGCTGACCAGCGGTATCCCGACGACGCTCGATCCAGACCAGCCATGGCTGCTCCCTTGACGTTGCCAGCCATCCAGGACCATTATGGCCAGCAGCCACCGTACCAGAGAGGTTATCCACCACAGGACCCGCGTGGCGACCCCAGAGGCGACCCCAGAGGCGATCCTCGTGGTGACCCTCGCGCAGACTCTCGAGCCGGCAACTACGATGCCTCGCCTAGCTCCGTGAACGGCTATCCTCCGCCACGCCCACCTCCAGGACCAGGAGCCCACCCCACCCAACTCCCACCGCTTCAGCCTCCCGGTCCTCGGTCTCCCACCTACCCTCCCTCGGAACCGAGAGAGGATTATTACCGCGACCGCCAGCCCCCGCCGCCTCACTATCCCGATCCGTACCACCAAGACTACCACCGCGGAGGGCCTCCCCCGCCTCCTGGAGCACGGTATCCCGAGTACGGCCCCCCACAGCCCGGCCAGGGCATGCCTAGGTATGAATACGGTCATCCTGCAGCGGGCGGGCCTCGATGGGACTATCCCCCAGGTGCCGTGGCACTACCCCAGGCTGCACCAAGGCAGCGGACGTCCATTGCCTGCAGATACTGCCGGAAGAGAAAGGTATGTGCGCTCCAAAACGGCTGTCGAATCTGCCTCGATTGCTGCCCGTACCAGGCCCCTGGTTTTCCTACTTACCTTTGGTGTCTAGATTCGTTGCAGTGGTTATCAGAGCGCGCCAGGAGGCAAATGCGTGAACTGCAGCAGGATGAACCAGGAGTGCATCTTCCAACCTGTGTCCTCTAGCAGCTCAACAGCGTTCATTCCCGTTTCCGCCGTGCCAGGCGGAGTTCCACCCGGCACGACGCTCTATGGGGCGTATGGCCAACCCCTTCCGCCGAGCTCGATGCCGCCTCACCAACATCCCCAGCAGCCGTACCCTCCTGGCCCCGGCGGCAACGGCTATTATCCGCAACCTTTGGCTTCTCCAACGACTTCGTATCCACCTTATGACCAGCATCGCGGGCCCAATAGGCGTCGGCCGCGAGAGTCAGATGAGGGGGACGAACTACGACCACCGCCGCCAGATCCAGCCGCCGGCGATGACCCTCGACGGAGATCGCCTGCAGCGTCCGACTCGAACCACAGCAGCCCGGGGAGCTACATGCCCTATCCGCCGGGCCACGGCGGACCATTCGATCCCAGAGGCCCGCCCGCTCGTCAAAGCCCTGGGCAGTCGTCTCTGGCTCCTTTGTCAACGTCTGGCGATGATCGCAGCGCCACTTCGGGTCAACGTCACAGTAATTCGTCAACTCCCGCTGCCTCTTCCAGTTCTGTCATGAGCTTGAACAATCTGATGGACAACCCATCGGATATCGACAGAAACATGCTTGGGCGGCTCAACCGCGCCCCCGGGTCTGGTCGAGGCCGCTGATGGACGACAGGTACGCATGGCTGACGGATTTTCATCCGCCCCCGCAGCATACGAGTAGACGGACTGGACGAGCATTGGATCGGCCCACTCCGTTGACATGTATGCGAAGAAGAAAAAGGTCTGCTGGTCAGGCACGCACCTCCTTCGGTTCGAACAGTACAGTCAAGATCACCAGTTTCTCTGCAGTCTTCTCTTTCATTTGCATTTATTTTATTTGGTATTAGGGCCCGCGCAGCATCGATACGGCAGGAGGGGAGGTATTATTTGGCTTCGGTTCGGTGGAGGTGCGCGTCCCTTTGTTTTCCCTATCTTATTTCTTATTGTTTGTGTCCCCCGGCACTACAGTGTGGAGGGGCAAACGGAGGCACAAAATCGGGTCTGTGGCTTCGACAGGAGCGAACGAATGTGCTCTCGGAGCCGTTCTGTCCCATATTTCGACTTGTCTTAAAAGGTCAGCACGGTTTCGCAGGAGGTTTGTTTTTGCCTTGATAGAGCTATATTGTTTCTCCCCCGCTGCTCGGAGTTGCCAGGGTGTTGTCGACTGGGCTTGGTTTTGCGCAGTGGCTCTTGTTTGCATTGCTATTCTCGCAGTCATTTCCCCAAGGGGACGGATGGGTTAAGATTGGCCTGCCTCACGGCAAATGGTTTGTTTGTTGCGAATGGATTACTTGTTTTGCTTCTTCGCGATTATCCGTCCGTTTTTGTTGTTGCTGTTGTTGTTGACGTCGTCGTCTTCGGGCTTGTCTTTGTGAGCGAATATGGGGGCTACGCGTGTGTAAAGACAAGGCAGGAAGGCAGCTGTGCCGAAGACCAGTCCTTGCTTGGACTGGACCAAAGCCCGGCGCGTGTAGGAGGAAAGGGGAGAAAAGGCTGGGCTGTCGATAGTCTTGAAAATGGAAGTTGAAGTTGTTTCCCACGTACGTCCTTGACACACCAAAGCAGCCGGGCCGCCGCAGATTACGTGGCGCTGGATCTACAAGAACGGACTCTCGTTGACGACCTACTCAGACCACCATTTTCTACACACACGGCACAGATTGGAGCTTTCCCCACTCTGTCCTGGCTGCTGGTGGCAGCAATGTGGCCCCAAACATGCACATATATCATAGACTTTGAGGTGTCGCTTCTATTTTGGCTTCTCTGGCAGAAGATGAAGATTGCATTCATTCGCTACTACATGCGCACATGCTACCTGCTCTTTTCTGTATGCACAAGGGGGGGGGGGAGGGCCAAGCAAGACTCGCACCAAGTATCGCGGCTCTCGGTCTGAGTACCCGCTGAGGGTTTTCTCTGGAGACACCAGACGAGAGAGGGGCACAGGGTGCACCGGCGCTGCGTGGGCAGAAACCCGCCAGACGGGAAACGAAGTACGGTACCCAAAACCCGGTAGGATGGTGCGCCGCCGCGCACCCTGGTGGGCGGCTGGCTGGAAACTTCGGGACGCGCGAGCGCGAGGGGCGTGGAAAAGGTGGGCGAGAAAGAGGGAGAGATAGACAGAGACGGTGGAAAAAATCCCACCCAAAACAGAGGTGACGCGACCAACGCTACGGTTCCGGTCAGCTGGGGGGGGGAAAGGATGAGGCCAAGCATCTCGAGAACAAAGAAACTCGGGAAAGCGAGCGTGCGATCTCTGTCAAATTTGCCCAAATTTCGCACGCGGGACCCACCCGAACTCGTCTTGTAGAGGGTGAAAGAAAGATAGCCCATGCTTTGGAGGCCGTTTTGGGTTTCGCCTGGGATCTTGTCTGTGCTGGACGTGGACTCCATGATCCGCGAACGGGTTGAAACATCTCCGTTCATCGCGTGGCGAGCGCGGGTGTGCAGTGGAGGGAGGGGCTTTCTTCTTCTGTTTGCGTCCAGACTACGCTCTCGCCCGCACACAAACACACACACACACAATCAAACACGCATGCATACCAACCATCCCGTCCCCGCGCGCAACTTGATTCGGCTGCCAACTTGACAGTGCTTCCTTGCTGCCTCAACAGAACGACGCGTATACTGACGACAGGGTTGTTCAAAATTGGTCTTTCGACCAGCCCAGTGCCAAGACAAGAACTGTAGTGGATATATCTATCCGACACTGTGAGGGCAGGTACCCTTTAACACAGCCAAAAGTATCGGATGAACAGGTGACATGAAGCGCATGCAACTTTCCAGATCCAAGCCTTTCCGCTGACACCCCCCCCTCCCTTCATCAGGCGGTGTAGGGGCTGCGAGGAATAAAGCTGTTCGGTAGGTCAGAGTGATTGAGCATTCCTAAACGCCCCTCCCGAAGGTACAAGAAGGCGCGCGCGGGATGGTGAGGGGCAGGGCAGGGTTGGGCAGGATGAGCCGGCGCGGGCAAAGCCTCTAGAACTAAGACGACGTTGCAGCTTCGGGTGTAACAGCGGTACCCTTGCCGGAGGTATTATCGGTTCTTGTTCGCGCTCTTTTCTTGCTTCAACTGACAGTCAATTACTCGGCTTTGTCCGTGCTCAATGGCTGCAGTTGGTAACGGCGGACTATGGAGTATATGCGTGGGTTGAGGGGAAAGGGAGGGGAGGAGGGGCGTAGATTGGATATCGTAAAGAGGGAGGGGGGGGCGCGGACGTTTCTGGCGTTGGGTAGTCAGGTCTTTGGTCCCGCTCAAGCAGCGGAGGGGCATGCAAGCAAGGCCAGCTAATGCAGACGATCTGGCCCGCGGACGGACGTTGGCACTCGGGTACAGACTAACGCAGGTAAGACGTTGATGTGTGGCATGCTAAATGGTGAACGACAGGGAGAGTGAATGCCCACCGTACGCTGGCGTGTATGAGGCAGGCTGAAGGAGAGGGGTCTAACGCGATGCCAGCAACATTAGCCTAGGGCTTCTTCTCACTGAACCTTGAGCGCGGTTATTGGGCATCGTACCACGATTCGACACGGACGCAGGACGGCGACCTCAAGAGATGATGATGGTGTGGGCCTGCTCGTTCTGTCGTTTGCTGACTAGCTAGCCCGCCCAAGTCCGGAGACTCTCGGTGAGACGACAGCCGAATTAGCGTGCTATACGGTTCCGGAAGCCGGAAGGCGGCTTGATTTTTCGTCGTCGGCGATGCGTCATGAAAGCCACCGGGCTCACCGAAGGAGGAGGTTTTAGCAGCCTGTTTTGTCTCACAAAGAAGCTGTTCGTGTGCTTGTGCTGAATATTTGACAGCAAGAAGATTTCGGGTGCTGCCTCGCCCTACTGGCCCCGAGCCCACATGGCTCCGATAAAATGTCGATCATACTCAGCTCGCATGATCATGGAGACGGACCAAGACTAGAGGGGAGGCAGGCGCCGCGCGAGAGGCCCGTGTGAACGGGCGGGCGAGGGGTGCAGGGAGAGGGCTTGGAGGCCTTGTGCATATCGAGTAAGGCCGCTAGATGTTGAACAAAGGATCGCGTCACGGGCGCTGCATAGCTCGCAGGATGGGGACAGCTCCTGATGACACCGACAGGGCCAGACAAGCTGGAGTGAAAGAAACGCAGCGGGGAGCACTCCCAGGGGGGTAGGTTGGGCTGATCTAACGTCGCTCGTCTGTTCTGTGCACTTCGAAGCGGTTGCAAGATGACCTGATCTCGCGGCCTAGCTCCCTCTTCCTGGAGCGATCCAGTTATAATGAAAAGTCGCAGGGGCGGGGATAGCCCGTGTTAGTAGCTTGCTCGAAGGGAAGGGGGGGGGGGGGGTAAGCCAGTCTTGCCAGACAGAGGTCAAGAGCGCCAGAACATGACGCGAAACGGCAACGAGCAACGGTGGTTGGCAAGCATCTGTCCGTTGGTGCCATGTCTTGACAGATCTGTGGTCTCCAAGCCTTGGGAGGGTCGCAGGCTGAAAGTAGAGACCGTCTCCAACCTTATCCGACACTTGTTGGCCCTGCCCATCCTTCGTTCGACGTGTTGGAAAATCAGGACCTGCCCTACTTGATCCGCGGCCGACGTCCTAGCCTTGCTAACTGTCGCCCAGATCTGCAACTTCAGTCTTCCCTTCAGCTCTACCGTGACGTGAAACGTATATCCATCATGATGGTCTGGTGTTGTAGTCGTCTTGTATGGATAGGACTCGCTTGATGACCGCAGCACAGACTCGTCACATGATGCAAATATCGGCAATCTCCCTTCCTAGGGCTGACAGGCAGCAGCAGCGGCGGCGACGACAGATAGCCCAAAATGAGTACCGAGCAGCTGTAAGAAGAAGCCTTGGACAAGTATTCGATGTGTAGCAAGATCCATTGGCACCCTGTAGCGTGGACCGGATATCTCAGCCCCAAATCAAGCCCGACATTAAGCGCAAGCCTGCTGACTTTGAGTCTGTGGAAGCTGACTTTACGAACGTTGTTGATACATGTTCTTTTTTAAGGTTCGCTCTCTAGGGTGAGATGATCATCTGTACTCCGTTCTAATCGGTGTCTTGTTAGGAGTCGTTCATTCATTGGGAATGAGCCCGCGATGTGCAAGATGACGTGTTGGATCGTGACTACTTTTGGCAAGATGTCTCATCAAAAACGATATAGCGGTGGCATTGTTGATCTCGTGTGGTTTGGTGCCCTCCCGGTAGTAGCAGAGGAAGTCGACTGGGGAGAAAGGGGGAGGAAGGAGGGATGACAGGCTGGCCAGCTCCAGTAGTGCCTGCCGTGGCTGGCGTTGGTTGCTTGTACCTGGCACTACCTAGAAGTGGCGATACTCAGGGGCTTTGGTCAATCTCGCTGGATTCTTCCTCCAACTTTTTCCTGCCCACGAACCACATCTCACATGGCCTGCCATCCCGCAAATGCATTTCACAGCATGCTCGTTGCAATGTTCCCCGAGAAAACTCTACTCTCTGGTCACCATGATTTCCCCCTTGGAACCTCTCATCTATTCCTTTCTTTCTACAAACACTACGTTAGGGGGGGCTTGAATCCATAGATTCCGCATCTTTCAGTCGACATCACGCCGGGCACTCTGAGGATTCCGGCTCCGCATGGCTTTACCATTGACTATGGAAACGTTCAAAACAAACCTTGGAAATTTGCCAAATCCGATCGATGGCCATGCCAGGAATCCCGGTGGTCGACAACCCAGGCGGCGTGTCGTGCCGAGACCCTTAGAGCCATCGACTTCTCTCTTACAGTCGAATGCCCGACCCGAACTGAATATGCATTTCTGGTTGTAAGAACTCGTCAAGTGCCGCAGACCCTCTCCTGGCTTCAGGTACGCGTCCACTGACGTAGTAACCCCGCCTCCCATCACCACCCTACCGTCCCTACAACCGAACACACATTGTATCCGGCCGGGCTTTTTGTTCCCGTGGATCAGTACTCAGTCAGTCCAGTGGAATCCGACGCGTCAATGATGCCAGATACCCAAAAGAAATGTTGGTCAGGCAGTTGATACTTCCGTCACGGTACCGAACGAACGTTTGGTATCTGGCCATCATGGGGCTCATGCAGCGTGATGGCTCCATTGTATCATCGTTTACTGACGTGGGAACGTACCTCTCTTTCCAGGACTAACATTCTGCGCGGGCATTGGATCAATACTAGCAATGGCTGACGTGTCCTCCCAGAGAGTACTGGCAATACAAAACAGAAACCCCCATCCAGACCAACTCCTCGCCGATCTTTCGATATACGAACGGGGAAAAGCAGGCTGCTGCATAGCTGCACAATGCCACTTACGGAAGCCTGTCTTCGTGGCTTTCTTCAAGACTCTGTTGGGTCTTGAGAAACACCAGGGTCGAGTGGCGACAGCTCTTGATCGTGCTAGCATCTCTTTACCCAACGACAATCCGATAAGACAACAAGCGGTGAAAGAAGCTCGGGCACAAAATCCCGTGTTTGGGAAGCGCCCAGCAGCAGTGATCAAGGAGATTATCTCCCTCGCCGAAGCAGACTGCCTATAGGGTCTCTCGTGGCAAAATTGAACTTGCGTCAGGTCTCGCAGCCGCAGTCATGCTTTCGCAGCACCTATTGCGCAGGCTTGCCATATTCCCCAAGCCTTCCACAGACTGAGGCTGGCCATTAGGTCACGGTCCACGATTGCCTCGATTGGGAAAGCCTCCCACATACTAGAAACAATTGTTGAAGGGCAAGAGGTGGAATCGGTACAGACTCAACGCTGCTGATCAGGGAATTGTGCCGAAATTCCGTTCATGTTTGCATTCCTGCATGGTGCGGGATACGACCCGAGGGACTGGTACGCTAGTACCCAGAGTCAGACTGTGTTTCTCTTGTCCATTCTTGTCTCTAAAGTTCTGACACAGGCAAGACAGTGTTGTCAGGCTGTGTTACACCGCACCAACACTCTGTAAAGTATGTGGGACGTACGAAAAGGGTGACGTGTCCGCGTTATCTTTACTAACGATCTCAACTGTATTGTATTGTCACCTCGTGCGATGGGGCATGCATTAAGTCCATCCAGTCTCAACCGTTCCCGTTGCTCAGCTCGACAGCCCGACTCGCGTGTATTTCCTGATAGGCTAGATGTTTTGACAAGGGAGCTGCGTGATGACGAGAAAGGACGGGAAGGACGTGGTTCCTGGCATCTTCAGGTTCCTATCAGCATTTTTTGGTCTTTCTGAACCAATGAGCCATGCGTCACTCAAACATGCCGATGAAGTCCCCGATGATGATGACTCACCGCCGGTGCTGCCGAGCAGCCAAGCCGATCTATATATCCCTTTTCTAGGCGCATGACACGGAGCGGACGAGGTGCTGAACGGGTCTCGTGCTTGTCAGGCCCCGGAGGTTGCCAGGAGTTACGTTATTTGTGCCGCAGGGCACGAACCCGGACCAGACTTACGGGCAGATGGTAGCGAATATGATGATGACGGAATGAAGAATGCGCGACTGGGATCTTTTGGTGGTCCTGTCCTCGGGATTTTTTCAAGTTTGATCTGCTTTGCTATTGTTCAGGGATAAAAAAGGCTTGGCGGCTCCCGTACAGTACCGAAGACTCTACATAGTTCATGCAGTCAACTGGCTACTCAATGGTTTCAAGAATGCTTAAGAGGCAGAAGCGTGACAGGCCATGGAAAAGCGCCCTATTCCAAAACTATCGGTAGCAATTTTAACGCGGCCCTGCTAGCCCTATTGCAGTGAGGTGATTGCTTGCTTGTGTCTTCTCGGGCCATGGCTTCAACGGTGATATACAGTACTGTAGGTCTCTTCTTGACTCAAATATGCTTCTATTGTGAATTGAGCTTTTCCCAATTCTTTTGGGATGCTCTTGAAATGCCTCCTCGTATTTCACTCAGGATGTCCGGCCAGGATAACATCTTTTTTCTGCATGACTACTTGGCTTCGCCTGAAAGAGTTCTCAAAACCAGCTCTTCGCCTTTGGCTTTTCGGTTTTGGACCCCTCAGACCTCAACAAACTTCCGAGGGTGGTTTTGAAAGTCTCGCGAGAGGGATGCATTTCGATCGCTTGCCTTGCCGGGCAAGCAATGTCCTTCTCAAGTACACAGCCGGGAAGTCACCGAGATACGTGATGGCCTACCATGCAAGACCAGAGCATGCTCGCACAATGTACATCTATCTTGATGAGTATGAAGCACAAAGAGTAGCCAGCCCTGACGGCAAGTGTCAAAGTTACGACGTATCCACGCAGGTAAATCTCCTGGAGCACAGGAGGATCCATAGTCTTAGTATACCAGACAGTGGACACCAAAATCACATTAACAACCAGAAGACACGACGGAGGCCAACCGGAGCGAACAATGGTACTCCTGCTGACGAACATGCCGAATCCATCGCTGCTCGGATCAGCTCCGAGTCGCTCGGCGGAGCCCGATCGCAAGCTCATCGAGCTGAAGCGGGCCCTTGACACCTGGGCAAAGCCATGTGGCATACCGCAGCCCCCTTTGAGCGCCAGATCTTAGAAATGGGCGGCTCCTTTTCTCGTGTGACGGCGTGTCGCGATAAAAGTTTACTGCCTGGGGCCGTTTAGACTTCGAGGCTACTGAACACTAGATGAGCGGAGCACTCGGGACGGATGAATGGAGTCCAAACAGAACACGTGGGAAGATTCAGCCGAAGCGGGGCTGTGGCAGTAGTAGGTAGTCATCGTCTCATTAATGTAAGGGCCTGGGTCGGCCTGGTATGGTGGCCTATGTCTAGTATCATGGTATCATGGGGGCGGCGGGTCTGGCAGGTGCCGCGGCAGCTCGGGGCTTCCGAGCCGTCTACGTCCGGTCTTGTCCAGCTACCTCTCTGACTTTCAGCCTCCCTGTCTCCGGAAGGTGTCAAACACTCCGCAACATCGTCTCCGGGGTAGGCGTCGTGGAGCGCGTCTCAACACACCTTTCCTCGCGGAATGTCAAGCGCCCACTACTACCTCTGTCTCGCTCGAGAATAAAACACCGCTCCGCGAAGACCCCCTGTTCATTCTGCCGGCGCCAGGCTGCACTAAAGCGACGGACCATGGCACGCCGCCAACCTCCAACGTTTATGGTCATGTGGCGCCATGGTTGCGGACCGCAACCTGGCGCTGCCCTCGCCTCGAAATCTTGCTTGCACTGTATGAGACAGCCAAAAGTGCGGACTGCGGCGTCGTGATCACGGTCCATGCCCGGGTGGACTATTTCAAGCGGGTGTAGGACAGTCTGCACGTGTAGAGTGAGAGTATGTAGTTTCTTGAAGGCACAAATGGCGCGCAAAAACTCAGGCGGGTCGCACAGAGCAATGTCCATGTCGATCTCGAGAGTGTGGACAAAGGGCAGCTGGCGGCCAAGAGTCTCGAGGTCAGCTGGCCAGAGAGTCGGACAGCGACGGTCTTCCTCCCCAAAACCAACATGATCTCGGAAGCGCAGAGACCGAAGTGTCGATGCATGCGCCAGGATACCGTCAAGCGGGAAGGAAGAGATGTGGCACGTCAGGCTTAGGGAATGGAGGGCTCGGATATGCTTCTTGACAAGCAGATGGAGGCCCCGTGTCGCATCCTGTCGCTTGTCGGTGACCTGGTGGGCGCTGTAGTCCTCGCAGTGAAGCCGTTGGAGATTTGCGAGGTCATTGAAGTTGACAGACACAAGGAAATTGAAAATGGGCACAGAAACCAGGTCGAGGGATTCCAGGCGAGAAAAATCCCAATTCCGATTCACGTCTTCTCTGGAGTGGTTCCAGTCATATGATTTCAACACCAGTTCTTTGAGAGCCGGCATGCGCTCACCGGGGCTGAACTTGAAGTTGGTACCTTGGCCTCGATCTTCGTAATGAAAAGTTTCGAGTCGTCGCGAGAGCAGCAGCAGCTGCTTCAGTGAGTTGAGCCGTGTTGTCAAGGGGGGCGCGGGGCTGGCTAGTTTGAGCGTCGTCAAGAGATCTGTGGGGATGGCTCGAACGTAGGTGTCACGCAAATGGCCTTCGAATTCCCGCAGCGGCAATCCTTGCACATGAAGCTTGGTTGTGTGATGTCGGGTCTGTTCCGATTTGAGCACATCAGAAGGTAACCACAAGAGGCCGCTGTTGAATTCAGCATCGACATAGTCCCATCTGCAGAAGTCAAGTGTGAGAAGGGCATGTTCCGAAGCAGGGACAACACGGTTGCTCTTGTCGTAGCGGACGACTTACTGGACAGATTGGAGCCTGCGAACCCTGTCTAGCACGCGCTTGATGCCAAAGGGGTCTAGATTGCTGCGGGCCACCACATGGTTGGTGTGGGCCGTTACGTTTCGGAAGAGGTTAGGGTATCGTGCCTCGGCGTCCGTTGACACAATGCTTTCGTTGAGGCACAGCACATGATAGACGATGGGGGTCGCGACTGCCTCGAATCTCCTCGACAAGCGACGGCTTGTGGCGGCCGATGGGGGATCAATGTCCCGGAGCTGGTCTGGTGTCAGCTGCGGGTTCGACGTGAGTTCGGGACAAAGACGAACGCCTCACATGCTCGATAATGAGGGCTAGCAGCTCAGAGCTGAGGTCGTTGAGAGACCATCGCTGTTCTGCAAGGCGGCGTGGGGAGGTCGCCATTCGCATGCGCGATGTGGTGCGGCAACTCAACCCGTCTCGATGGGGAGGGGGGAGGAGGAGAAGGGGAGAGGAGAGGAAGGCGAGGGGAAGATATGGCGAGGCGGCATTCGAGATGAAGCTTGTCAGGGAGGGGATAGGGCCCTTCTGGTCATGGAGAGGGGACAGCTTAGTTTTATTGCTGAAGCCGCCATGGACGGCAGGCGTCCGGGCGTATTTGTCTGATGAGATGGAATCGGGATGGGGCGAGATCATGATGCGCTCGTTGACAGGTGCGCTAGGCTTCTTGGGGAGAATGTCACGAGCAATGTCGGTACGGGGGCAGAAGGCACAGCAAGGTAAGGTACCTCAGGGTAGGTCGGTAGACCAGGGGAGGCGGGAGGCGGTCGTGGCAGATCGGGGCCGGAGGATCCAAGGAGGCCAGCGGACCGCGCATGCAATTTTAGGGCGAGAGAGGCTGCAGGCTGGCCGGCACGTCGTCCAGTAGAAGGTCGGCGATCGAAGCTGCGAGTGGAGGTGGAGGGCGCCGACAGCGAGGCGGAGGGATGAGACTAAGGAGGAAGATGGGGCCGATCAGTATGAGGATCAGGGGGTGCCAGCCAACTGGATCAGAGTAGGAGCCTCTTCCCAGGGTGGGATAGAAAGTGAGAGAGAGAAGAGGCGGGGAGGGGAGAACAAGGGGACATGAACCGACTAGATGCGCGGGCTGTGATGGGGTGTGAGAGGTGTAGGACAAGAATACGCCGATGAAGGGAAGAGAGGGAGAGGAGGAATGGTCAAAAAAGACACACATAAAGCCACGGGCAGGCAAAATACACTTGCATCGACCGACGAAACCAAGCGAGATCAGACCGCGCCTGCCCAGAGCTCAAACTCGCTCCCATGGCTCCTTCTGACAGCAACGGCTGCGTGGGAGCAGAAGGAGAAACACGGTCATGATTCGTTGTCAATTGTTTCGTTTGGGGGCCGGGGAAGCGGAGAGTATGAGCAATAAAAGACAGCTACGGCTGGAAGGCAAGCTCGACACATCAAAGGGGAAGGAAGGAAAAGTGACGAGGCAAGAGGTGTCGTTCGCAAGATTGTCCCAAAAGGGCAAGAAGCGAGCCTACGCTTCCCCCCCCCCCATGCCCCCATGCCACATGCCACGAAGCACAAGACGGCAGGGCCGTGAACCCCACAAACCTCGAGGTGCATATGCATGCTTGTAAACAGAATCAGACCCGGAGCCCTGTCACGCAGATGCAATGAGGGGCTGTCTTGTCGCCAGCATCACCCTGCTCCCACGTTTTGTCGTTGCAAGTTGTGGTCGATGCAACATTCGACGAATGAGGCATAGGCCGCGAGGACGGCCGTTGCCAAGCTCGTCCATGCTTCTCGCGGAAATCTGTCGTGGATTTTCGCAACCAAATGGCTTCCAAAACAGGTAGCTGGATATTGGGGCTGGTAGTGTTTGGCTTCTTTAATCGCATTTTCGCGATGCGGATCCAATCCAGCCTATCTGACTACTTAGGCAGATGTACCTAAAGGGTTGAAGGTACCACCAGGTGTCCTTAGCTCCCTTCCTCCACCATTTCCCTTCTTAGAACGAACCGCCGAGCCCAGCGACCTGGCCAGCACCCCCAACCCGCCTCGCTACTGATGACCACCACACTCTCAAAGCTCCGGATGCCGTCGGAACGGCATGGCATGGTGAGGTCTATTCTAATCTTGCCCTCCCCTATGCTACTGATTTCTCATTGAGTTGGACCCTCCCAACCCACGCGACCGCCGCTCCCGTGCTCGCGGCTTCAACCCTCCACTACACCTGAAAGTCTTTCGTCATCGTACATAGCAGGTATCACTGCCGAAGATGATATTCATTGACTGTTCGAGCAATCCCTCACATTGTGCTGTACAGTACCAGTTGCCGCGGCCCGAGCACTGAACTCGACCGACAGGCCGGCTGGGCCCAGGAAAAATCAGAGTAAGAAACAACCCCGTACAACACAAGGTCCCAAATCTCCGACGTCAACTCAGCCCGCCGGAACCCTTTCACTGCGCTCAGACTCCCGCGCAACCGTCAGATTGGTGACCCTGGTCTACCATTCTACCGAAGTGACCTGCCCATGGCTGAGTAGCGAGCGGTCCCGCCACCCACCGCAACCCGCAAGGAAAACACCCCTGCCGGGGGAACGGACGCCGAGTTCTTGGACGAATCGCATCTGGAGGAGAAACCCTGCCCGCTTCCCAGCTGTCGGTTCTTGACGTCGCTATTCACCCACCCCTCCTGTCGCACCGAGTGATAACCAGTCAAGTGGCATCCCCGAACTGCATCCTCAGCCGCGGACCCGTCACTTCATTTTCACTATGGGAGTGTAGGGTCATGGACGTTCATCTGCTTTGGGTTCTTGTCGCGATACCCCCACAAGACAGCCACGCCGCTTGCCTACGTACGCCTGCATTGGCTCCAGTTTATGCTTGGTACTTCTCTTCCGGCCACGCTTACTGACAGGCACGCTGTTAGGCAGGGTATTGACCACACTCAGCAACGCACAACTTGTTTTGCCTCTGATCACAGCACGTACAACCAAGTGGTTCAACCCGAAAGGTGACACACCAACAAAAAACTGGTTGTCGTCTCAAGTGATGATCGACAACCGCCCCTCCCCCATCTCAAAGGTTTGAGGATCAGCTTCAAACGGCCTGGGACTATCCGAGCTTTCGGCCCCGTTTCAGAAGCTTTTTCAGGGTTCGGTTGACATTTGTTCCACCACCACCCGCATGGGCCTTCATCTGATTGTTGTCTACGTCTAGCTTAGCCCCGAGTATTACTTTTCTTCCTCGCGAACCTGGTCTGTTCGGAGATGCGAGTGGCCCATTATATCCCTGTCTAGCGGCACCGTGCTGTTGATATTGAACCCGTCCTTTTCGGCAGGCCATCCGAATCCTAGTTCGCCAGTTGACCACCTCCAAGGTGCGTCAGCCATATGATTGCCAGTCTGCTTGCAAAGCCTTGAGAGCCAGCTCGTAAAAGCCCCAGATTGACGTAGCCTCTAGGCGATGAAGCTGAGATGGGGTAGGTATCGTCACGGTCCCAATGTTGCAGGAAGGCGGCCCTGACTCTTGGTCACACCATTTGTCAATCGAGCTTTGATTTGACGAGCCGTATCATGACCAGATACCACGTCGAGTCAGCCACTGCGCACTTCGTGTCCGCTAAACGCCGAAGAGCATCTGCATGATTTCTGCGCTTGACATTGCTCATATCGACGAGGCCACTTCTCCTACTCGCAATTCCTCCAACGGCCACAGCTACCCCTCAAAACACCCCCCAATCGGCCCCCTCACGGACGACTCCGCACCAAGACAAGTTAACAACTGCAGGCCTGTCTCAACTAAAGCATCTACGAGCCCCGCCCCCCCCAAAGTCACCTTTGATGGCGGAGCTGGTTTGCAAGCCACGGAGGACACTAACCAACGACAGCTTGGGGCCGGAAACCAGATCTAGGAGTGGGCTTGGGGGTGGGGGCAAGGGTCATCGCTGGCAGCCGCCGTGGCCGCCCGAAAGACGTGTCTACATGTACATGGGACGTGGCCGGTCCCTTGGCCTTGGTTATTGAACGGCACTTAATCTAAGGCTGCATGTGCAGCTTGGAACTCAATCGATGGCGTCTTAAGGCAAAAGGACGACATGATGCCCGTGATGAGTTAGAGCCGATCCAAAGGCGATGTAAGTGCCGCTTTCGTTTTTTTCTCGGGCCACGCATGTCCTGTCTACATGGAGATCAGAGCTGCGTTCAAGATGGCTGCAGGTGATGCTCTATGCCTCATGTCTGCCTGTATCCCTACACGGCGGCACAGGGCGAGGAACTGGGAGAAGATTATCTCATAGAGCGGCCAGTATTTTATTTTGTCCGCCAGTCACGAGAACGCTGCGGAAGCAACATGATACGAGCAGTCGGCTTCTGTACCCCTGTCACACTACATCGTGTCCATCTTGCATCCCAGCCGGCCATACCATTATTGCTCCCCTATACCGTCGTCAATGACCAACTTTGGCAGCCCTTGCGAGGACACGCATGCTGCGTCTGACGCGCACAGAGATCCACGAGCAGGAAAGAACAAGCACATAGAAATCGTGACTGCAGCGAGTGGACGAATCACGGTGTACACCAATCGCGCGAGCGGAGGCTCGGCCTACCGTTGACAGGGGAGATTGTCTCCGTTCTGCTGAATCAGAATGCTTGCTTCATCTGCCTAAATGGCCTGCGAATAAGGGAATAGACCACCAAATATGAAAAGAGCCACTGCCATCTCGCCTTCAGTTCCTTCTTCATTCTTCTTTAGCCGCCGGAAAGAGTACGTCCCCATCGGGATGTCTGCCTCCTCCCCTTCTCATCCGTTCGTATGCTGCTCTGTGTCAGGCTGGTCGCGATGACAAAGAAGGACAGTCGGAGACGATGGCATAGAGGCATGTCGGGAAAAGTACAAGGCAGAGCACGTGCCAGTGTAGATGGAGCCTCTGGAACCCACTCGCCCTAGATCGACTTCGGGGTCTTCTACACTGAGATTGTCGGACGGACGAAGTGTAGATTACCTCGAGTCGTAGATGTCATCGTCATCCCGCGTGTTCCGGCTGCCCTGCGCGCCATGCATCGTCGTGTGTCCGACGGCGCTGTCCTGCCGGCCGACGTAGCTCTGCGTCGGATTGAAGCCCGGGACTGGCGGCGCGCCGCGCAGAGGCGCGGGCGCGGGGTCCTGGAAAGGGTCACCGCCACCACCAGACTCAAGCGTTCGGTCCTTCGGTGGCAGACCGGGCGGGGGGCCCGCCGGTGGCGCAAAGTCGCCGTGGCTGTTCTCGTTGGTGCCGCCGACGGGTTTGCGAGATGGCTGCTGAGGCGCCGAGGTCGGTTGAGAGGGCAGCCACTGCTGCTCATGCTGTGGAGGACGGGTGTCGAGGGGGAGAACGGGTGGCTGGCCGTTGGTCATCTCGGCCGAGAACGTGTTCTGCTGGTTGTGGCTCGGGGTGCTGTTGAGGCCGAGCTGCTTCCGCGCGTTGAGGACGCCTCGTTGGTGTTGGTTGAGGGCAGTCTGAAGCTGCTCGTTGGCGTCGATCAGGCTCTCCATCGTGTCGTTGTCAGGAGCGGGGTCCTCGGCGAGCATGTAGAGCTGTATGCTGCGCGTCGCGCTCTGGCAGCGGTCGGCAAACTCCTTGACGAGGTCGTTGTTGAGAAGTTCCTGTGGCGGGGTGTTGTTGACGACTTGCGAAAGGAGCTTGGCGGAACTCCGGGCTTCCTCGAGGCGGCTCGCGAGCTCAGCCGGGCCTGGCAGCCTCCTGTTCGAGTGACTCCTCGCAAAGTAGTTGGAGTTGTGACCGCCTTGGTTGTACTGTGATGCCGTCATCTGCGGGGCAGAATGCGCGCCTTGGGGATACTGAAGGTGTCAACTGGCGTCGCGTAGTGTCGTGATGAGGAATTGTCACTGAACATACCCTGAAGTTTCTCTCGCCGCGCTGGAAGGCGCGCTCCTTCTCCTTCTTCCACATGTAGACCAAGTCCTTGACGCCCTCATCGTTGGCCCTCGTCTGCTCGAAATCGTCCAAGGTCTCCATGAGGATCTGGCGCACGCTCGGGTCGCGGCCGTTTCTCAGCACATCCTTGACGACGTTGCAGAACTTAAAGTCGAAGTTACGGGTGAAGCTGCGACCAGGGTTGTCGGCCAGGATGCGGATCAGCATGACGGCGTTGTACTGCCAGGAGGCCTTTGGTGAGTACTTGTCCGTCAGATACTTGCGGATGTAGCGGGCGCATTGCGTCGCGGCGGTCGGAGAGGATTCGGCGGCATCGACAATGGGCGGGAGGAAGAGAACCTCGTCTCCCTGGTGGCACGCCTGTCAGCGCACGTGGTTCCGGCGCACATGGGAGTGAGGAAGACGGCAATGGATATACATACCTGTCTGTTTGGGCCTCCAGACTCGCAGAACGCTTTCTGTTGGGTCGTCAGTGAATAGGCACAGGCGAAAACAGTTTCCCAACGACGGCAACCGAGGTCTGCATACCACATTGCGAACAGCAATTCCTTCGGGGCTGTCTTCTTGTAGATCATCTGCGATGGCGAGTCCCTGGGTTGTCGGTGCCTCGTTGGAAGGCCCGCTGCCACTGCCGGTGTTGTTGCTGTTGCTGTTGTTGGCTGCCGAGCTTGTTCCCGTCCTCCGCTTGAGGGTGCCAACTATGCGGTTGACGCTGAGACCCTTCTTGACGGATTTCATGATTGCGACCACAGAGCCAAGGTTGAGGTGAGGTTTTCGGGTGGGCGCAGGCCGCTTCAGATCCGGGCCTCGGCGGGGTGGTGGATGACGCGGATGGGTCGGCTTCAAGCGGGATTGGGGTTTCAATGGCAGTCGCCTTTTGGAACGGGATACGGCTCTGGTTCGTTGGGGAAGACGCGCAGCTGCAGGTCGATGGCGGCTGAGGCGAGGCAGTTGTAGATGCAGGTCCCAGGTCTCGGGATGCCGGTCGGTGGGTGCTCTGTTCCAGTTCGGGTGAATGGATGATGAGAGTCAATGCTGAAAGGGTATCAAGTCGAGTTGCACGTTTGGCGTTGGGTCACGCCGGGGTCTGGGTACTTTTGGGGTTGGTCGCCTTGCTTTGGGGTGGGAGGGGCGAGGGGACGAAGGAGCATGGGGCTCGTGAGCCGAGAGCGAGAGGGGGGCCGCGCGAGGGAGCTTGTGGTTTGATCGGTACCTGTTACCGACCTCTGGGATCCCTCGACGATGGATGGCGCCTCTCTGTGTCGAATATGTTTGGTTTTATCAGTGGTCGCGCCGCATTCACTGCTGCACCTGCAACTGCAACTGCACCGGCATCAGCCTCGGTATGTTTGTCGGGAGGCACGGTAGACAAGATGGTGCGGCGGCGACCAAGTTGGCTTTGGGGGTCTCTTTCTTGCCTTTATACCAGGGTCCAAGCTACCTTGGCGATATGTGCCCTCGGGAGACTAGGAACGAACAATAAGGGTCCTGTGGCCTTGCGCGCCCACTCCACAATTCACTTGAGCATGGTCGATCTTTCGCGGCTTTGCTGTCGTGGGCCCTGTCAAGCTTCCTTTCTTTGCTTGCTTGCCTGCTTGCTTGCTTGCACACCTCCGCGCCATGACCAGGCGCTTGAAGCATTAACCCCCGCTGTCCTCGTGGCCAATTTTTTTTTTGAACGAGTTCTGCGCTACCTGCTCGCTCATCTCGTCTACTTTCGAGCAGAGCAGGCGGAGGGGGCTGCCCTGTAGTGACGTCTCCCATGCCAAGCATCTGCCACGCGCCTGCACAGCCTCATCCACGCAAGCTCTCGAGCAGGTTGCCGCACCCACGACGGCAAAAAGGACACGCCATCTACTGGACAAATGTCCAGTTTCTCCCATCCAGTCCATCGAAAAAAAAGGCCGGCCGACGTCGGCAGTTGGACCGACGCGTCTTCGTCGGGCTTCCGTCCACGTCGAGCATTCATCGTCCTACAGGCCTCCGCCTCAGAGAGCGATAGTCCCCTGTGCCACTCTGTGTGTACCATGTACCGCAATCCCCGATCAGCAACGCATCCCGCCCCCTTTCGTCGTCCCTTGAGGGTCTCGGCCCCCTCGCTCGCAAACAGGGTGAAAGCTTGTGATACACCCCTCGCCAACGCGCGGACGTCATCTTCAACATGCCTCGTCCCGCCTGCTGTGTGCGCCGCCGCGGCCCTGTGCGCCGTCGTGGCCCTGTGAACTTGTCCCCCTCTGTGTGTCTCTCCGAGGCTGCATCTCGAGCCTGAGCCAGAGTGACAGACAGGCAAAACCGACAGTCTCCTGCATCACGTCGCTTAGCGCCTGTTGGCGGGACACTCTATGAAACCCAGTCCTTCCACAAGAACCGCAGAGCCCCGCGGCAAACCAATGTTTCATCCCAAGGCTATCGCGACAAAGTGCGATCTGAAACGAGCGAACAGTGGAGGAGGAAAAATCTATTCGTAGCGACCAACTGGTCGGTGGCCTACTCATCCCCCGCCCGTGATCACGGTGCCATAACGGCCCCATTGTCCTACAGCCCAGGCCCGCCTTCCCCGGCGCAGGGCCACGCCGCCGCCTGGACATGCGCTCGTCTGCCAACCCCACATCACAACAAAAACTGACCATCACACCTGATCACCTCTCACCATCTGACTCGTCGACATGCGGGGTGACGTCCTCCACGATGAGATTGCCCGACCGCCCTATCTTCTCTCCCATGGTCGTGTCCTCGCTGGCTTCGTACACCACCCTCGGCATGATCGATGCAATGCTGAAGCCGAACTTGTGCATGTAGTCCGCCGGTTCCTCGGCCTTCTCGTCGAGCTCTCCCTGTAGCAGGTCGTAGCACTCGACAAACGCGTAGAGGGCCTCGAGGGACGTATCCTTGCGGAACCGTCTCACGATCCTCCCGGCGCCGGACGACTCGGGCATCTTGAGCGCGATGCGCACCACCTCCTTGTCGTCGGCGGCTGGCTCGGCCTCGATCCTCGCCGCCCGCCAGCGCTTCCACTGATCACGCTGCGCTGCGAGCCGCGTAGCCGCCGCGGCCTCCTCCTCTGCCCTCTGCACCGCCTCTGCCGCAGCCTTCTCCGCCTCGCGTCGCTGCCGAGCCCTCTCTCGGTCCTTGGCCAGAGATCGCTCGTAGGCCGAGTCTTGCTCGTGGCGCAGGTTCTGCGTCACCTCCCTGGCCGTCCTTTCGGCACGCACGCCCGCCAGGTCTGCCGTGTACTTGTTGATGGCGCTCTGCGCTTCAGAGAGGTAGGCTGTCGGCGGCATCGCGCCGACGAGGCGCTTCACGATGCTCATCCTCGTGCTGCCCTCTTTGGGCGTCAGGCAGACCAGCGCTGAAAACGGGTATTTGGTGCAGTTGTACTCTTGCGCCACTTGGTAGGCCTCCGAGTCGAGGATGTTGCCACCCCACAGAATGATGTTGTTGGCCGGGTCCCGGATGAAACTGATGACCTCCGGTGCCAGGAGCGTCTCGCGCGTGAAGGATTCCGTATCGTCGTGCTCCGGTGACATCAACACAACCCACAGGAACTTAAGGTCCTTCTTCGCCAAATCTTGCGCTTGCGCGATGCCTCCTTCGAACCACGGCAGCTCGCTATTGCCGTACTCTTCGTCAAACTCGCGCTTGAACCTGGCTGCCGTATCTTGGGGCATCAGCATTCGGCGGCCCGTGGTGTTCCGAAGGCCGGGTGCCGCTCCGTTCGTCAACCCTCGCGGTCGAATTGAGGCCGGCAAGAAGGAGAAGAGGTACCAAACAGTGCGGAAGAGTCGAGAGGCAACAGCCCACCCGAGGCTGAAGGGCGTCAGTAGGAGTCCGACGAGGAACGGCGGCCTGTGGATTGTGTTGGGCATGGGGACGATCCTTGGTGCCGGTTCGGGTCTGTCGGCTGGGTTGCGTCTCGGCGGCTGAGCCGCTGATGTGTACATGCTCTCCTGCAAGTTTTCGAGTCTGGCAGATGACCGCGGGAGCTCTTGTTGAGCCAACGCCTCGGCTAGAGGATCAGGCCCTTCGCCGTCGAAGAACTTCGCGATGGCAATCTGTCACGAGTCTCGTTAGTGTTCGTGAATACCTGGTTGATTGGTTCATGGCCGTACCTGGACATTCCATTGTGATCGTTGTAGGAGTGGTATGGCGTCTTTGACCTCTTGATCTGTGACCTGCATGTACTGCTGCAGGGCATCTTGTTGGCTTGGAGAAAGCTCTCCCAAGTCAACATCTCCCGTCGCCATCGGTATGCTTTTGAGTGGCGATAATTCTGGGCGTTTTCAGGAATTGTCCTGAATGTGAACCAAGTCGCCTGGTCTAAGTACACCAAAAAAGAATTACTGATGCTTGAAGTGACGCCGTAACCGAATCAAGTCAGGAGACTCTCGAGCACGACTTGAGCCTGTTCGTTAATGTTGCGTGAATGAGTGACCGTGCCGTGATGCCAGTGTCTAGTGAGACGCGTTGGAGAGATTTGGTTAGGCCGCGAATGGGAAAGAAGGTGCAGGCGGGTTAATACAGCGTACGCACTCGTTGCTCGTCATGACCGACTGAAGAAGTCGGCTGCCTGTTGTCTCTACCCAGTGACGACACATGGCTTCTCAAAGCTAGGTATCCGCTGTGGTCCCACCGTTATCTCTTATCCTGTGTCGCGTCAGACACGGTCGCAGGTGTCTTGCCCCATTGCATGACCGGGTAAATGCCCCTATCCTACACTCCTGTCACACAGTGTACCGCATAGCTGCATGAAGCCCCTCCAATGCCTTGTCCCACCCTCCGATTCAGGGATGGATGGCCACACTTGACATGGGAAGCTGGAACCGCGACAGTGGGGAAACCAGCTTGACCCCCCCCCCCTCGAACTCCACCCCTTGGGCCTCCTCGCGAACCTCGAAACGCTGCGGCGATCTGCTCAGTGGTGTCTTCCCACTCACCATTACGATCGCATCCCACGCTCGCATGGGCGAGCCGCCGAACTTTTTATCCGAACAATGGGCCAGGCCAGCGAGGCTCAAGTGCGTACAGCCCTGCCAAGCCTCTTACATACACCCTACACCTCAACACTGTCCTTTGTCTCGAAGGCTCGACACCCATCGTCCGACGACTCGAGCGCATGACGCGTTCCCCAGCTCTCATCTTATTACCTCCTGCTAATATCATGCTGCAGACGTCGTAAAGCCGACCTCCAAGGGCGTCCTACCTAGTCAACGCCGCGAGCGATCATGTCGGCGCCGCGATACAGCTCGGCCGGGCGCCAGGTCGGGTCACCCAAGCCGAAGACGCGAGGCGAGTCCTCCAGTACCCGCCGCACCCAGCCGCGAGCCGAATTGCTGACCGCGCCAGTCAATGCAGAGAGCAAAGACACGCTCTGCCGAAATGTCCTGATCTATGGCCACTGCCGATACGAGAACAGCGGTTGCGCATTTAATCACGACCAGAATAGAACCACAAACCAGAACGGACAATCGCCGCAAGGCCTACAATCAGAAGTGTAAGTCTAAGCTGCGCGTGATCACGACCCGTTCTCCTTCTCGACCAGCGTCATGTCATGCTGCCAAAAACTTGACGGGAACTACCTCGAAACCTGGAACCGACCCGCCCTCCTCCAAATTGCACCCAGACCAGCGTCCCAAGCTCTTCACTTCAATACTCTTTGGGTTGGTATGACAGGGCTCAGACTGGAGTCATGCAGCCGAATTGGATCACTACCCAATGATGCCATTGTACTGCCTCGCCAGGGACGACATCTTCGACCCGAAGGACCAGGCGCTGGGGCGATTGCTGACAAGTACAAACGAACCCGGGAATCCAAAGTTGCGGGCATCACCACGTGATTCCACGTTGATCCATGCATCGACAGCCTATGAAAGCTCGTGCGCGCCCTCGACACGAAGCCGGCCAGAAGGATTCGGGTGTGGGAGTCTTGCTGGACCTCGTGGGAAGCTGCCGTCGAGGAACAGCCAGATGGCATTTGTCTTGATCTCGCTCGCGCGGCCTTGAAACCTTGAGTCAAGGGATGAACTTCGTATTGATCACCAGCTGACCGGATCAAAGCAGCGCGAAACGATTCAACGTCGACTCGCCGTCGTTCACCCCGACGACGTTGCAAGCCGCGCCCGGGTCGGCGACGACCACGCCGGTCAAGAAGTCTACTTTTTCGTCTCAAGCGGCGAGTGCGGCATCTTTTGTTCCCCGCGGAACAAGCAGTAAGTAATGGCTCGGTGTTGAAGCCACCCATGCCAGCGCAGGTCTCAAAAGTTTACTAGAAGCTGACGCAATCGCCTAATAGGCACCCCGTCTGCCGCGAAAGATACTGAAAGCTCTGCATCGCTATTCAATCCTGCCAAGTTTCAAGAGTTCACGCCCCAGAACTTTGAGTTGAGCCCCAATGTAGGAACTTGTTGAAGTACAGGCAATTACTCGTACGTAGCTAACTTTGCGCAAGGTCAGCACCAATGGCGCTGCCAGTGATGCTGGCCTTACATTCGATGCCTTCTCCATGGCGAACCTCAACCAAGGGCTGCCCCAAACCCCATTCAACCCGTATGCGGAAGACCCAACAGCCCTTGCCTCCACTGGAGCATTCTTCCAACAGCAGAACCCCTTCGCGGCTCACACGCAACCAGTATGTCAAGCCTTGCTGGACACGTATCCTGCGTGACTGACAAGTCCCTCAGCTCCAGTACCACCTGTATGCTCCACTAGGGCAACATCGCGAGGGCCTCCTACCATACCAGAGGCAAACAAATGATTTCTTTCTGCCAGAGAAGATTCGCGAAGATGTTCAGCGAAAGCTAGAAGCTGCCCATCAAGTTATGAACAGTAAGCATCAAGACACTCCTGAGATCCGGGCTCTCCTAACACCGCGCAAGACACGGCACTTCCGAACATTGATCACTACTCTTCTCTGGTGCCCCTGGATACCAGCAACAGGGAGAGCTCAGTAATCTTTGGCTACACCAGTTGGGTCTACAAGGCTACCTCGCAAGAAAATGGCAAGACGTACTTTTTACGGCGTATCAAGGGTTTGTGCACTCGCGCTACATGGCCCAACACGTGCTGACAAGTTCAGACTTTCGGCTATCTAATGAGCAAGCCATCCGTCTCGTCAAGGAGTGGAAAAAAGTCCACAACGGAAGTGTCGTCTCGGTGCACAGCGCATTCACGACGCGTAAATTCCAAGACAGCTCCATCATCTTTGTCTATGACTACCATCCTCTTTCGAAAACGCTGGCTCAGCATCATTTCCCGCAACAACAAACCAACAGATACAACACAAGGCCGACCGTCACTGAGGATGTAATGTGGAGCTACATCACCCAGCTTGCGAACGCCCTCCAGGCAATACATAAACTCAACCTTGCGGCGCGCTGCATCGACGCTAGCAAAATAATCCTGACAGAGAAAAACAGGATACGACTGAGCGCATGTTCCATTCTTGACGTCTTGCATTACGAAGCCCGGAGACCATTGGGAGAACTTCAACAAGAGGACTTGACTCAGGTCGGCAGGCTCATGATCTCCCTGGCCAGTAACACCCCGGCCAATTCCATTACGGCCAACAACGTCAACATTATCATGCAGCAGATGGGCAATATGTTTTCTGAGCCACTCGTCAGTAGTCTGATGTGGCTTGTCTACCCCAGCCAAAATGGCGAGACTAAAACTATCGAGACATTCCTCTCCAAGATTTCAAGCCAAATTATGGCGAATATGGATATGATGCTGCATCAAAATGATGCGCTGACGTCAAACCTGTACTCAGAGATTGAGAACGGCAGGCTCTTCCGCCTGCTGTGCCGCTTGGGCACCATTAACGAGCGACAGGAGTTTGATGGAGACCGCCAGTGGTCGGAAAATGGCGAGCGTTACATGCTCAAACTGTTCCGAGACTACGTCTTCCACCAGGTCGACGCCAACGGCCAGCCGGTCGTGGATTTAGGACATATCGTTCGCTCCCTTAACAAACTGGACGCCGGCTCGGACGAAAAGATATGCCTCACCAGCCGTGACGAGCAGTCGGTCTTTGTCGTTAGCTATAAGGAGCTGAAGAAGCAGATCGGTAGCGCTTTCGGCGACCTTTTGAAGGGCAGGCCCAGCGCCGGGCGGGGATTCTAGGAGCCAGCAGGCGCAGGGTCAGAGACCCCGAACCGCGACATTTCCAAGGACGAGGTTGTGAGCGACGGGCAGGCTTTGATGACATGACTTGGAATGGTTGGATCACAAAGACCGCAGCCTTAGAGATGATGGCTTGGCGGATGCTTGGATGGAAACATGGTTGGGCCTGAATCACGAGCATAACGATGAAGCAAGGGGCGATGACGAGGTGGATGAGTGATGCAACGGAAATTTGTCGCTTGGAACCTAGGCTTGCACAATCATAAGGGCTGACAGGGCGGTGGCCAACGTGAGCCCGTGTCTGGCTCGTGTGGCTTGGCCGCTGTCTCTCCAAACTGATGTCGGCCCGGTCCCGAGAACATACAGGTAGCAGATGCAGTACAATAAGTCAACTTTCGATCTCTTCACAGACTTCAGCTGTCCAATTTGGATGCTGACGCTCATGTCATGCTACAGGGTTTGATGCATTTCCATGTGCCGAAATGATGGCGCGGCATGCAGGCCATGGGCCTGGAGCGGCTGGTCCAACATTGATACGTCCCCCGGACACAGCTCTACCCCGCATCGTCATAGACTCCTTCCCACCTTGAGGCATCCTCGTCCTCGGAAAGTGTTGACCTTCACAGGCGAGTTGGTGTGTTTGTGTCACTGGAACATGGCAGCCTCTTTCCCTGCCTGTCCTATCAGAGGTATGTGCAGGCCACTGTGGCGCAACGTCGTCGGATCAAGGTCCTCAATCTTCTTCTGGCTGGGCGAAAGGGTTGGCGATCGGCTCGCTTCCGTCGACAGGGCTGACGAGGACCAAGAGTGTACCGCGTGCCACGACGAGGCCGAGAGATCGGGTGTTCTCCTTTCCCTCATCATCTAGAGGCAGAAGGTCAGTTGCGTGTCCAGCCAAGGAGGGGGAGGGGTAGCATACCTCTCATGACTTCTTCGACGTCATCGAGCACGAGATTCATCAGAGCGTCGTATCCCTTGAGTGTGCCAGTCACTGGACACAAAAGTCAGCCGGTGATTGTCGCCGTGACGCGCTGGGCCGCTGGCCCTCGGCGGTCGATACGAGGGATCACTGACCTTCGCGACCGCCATTGAACTTGACGGTAATCTTCTTGTCCATATACTTGCCCAAGTCAAGGATGTTCTCCTTCTTGGGCCTCTCGCGGTCGCCGCCAGCACCACCCTGGCCTCCACCGTGTCCGCCACGACCTCCGCCGCCGCCGCCTCCCCTCCCTCGATGACCTCCTCCACGACCGCCGCCTCCTCCTCCTCCTCCACGATGCGAGCCTCTGTCAGCCATGGCGAGGTTTGATGCCGAGTCGCGTGAGGTTGCCTGAACAAAGCAGCTCGATCGGTCGATTGCGATTCTCGAGAGATGGGATGTGAGATATCGGGAGGAAAGCTTTCGTCGCGGGATGCGCGTTGTGTCGGCCTCCGAGAAAAGTTGGGGTTGGGCTTGATGGAGTGGAAGTACCTTGTACCTACCTCACCACGTCTCTATCGATTGACGTCCGACGTTGTTCAGGCGGCGGCGTTGTACAGATGTGGGCGGGGCGGGGTGGAGGGGTGTGGCGCTACCTCCTACTACTGTGGCTGACGCTGATCGGTGAGCGCACCACCCCCCCTTTCTGTCTCTGGGCCGACGCTGCGGCGTCGATGGAGGTGCCCTACCTCGGAGCGCTGCTAATGGCAAGCCAAGTAGATGTTGCACAGCACCACAAGTCACGATCCAGTGGCACGCCCACACGACCATACAGTCATAGAAACGACCGAACGATAAGTCGGGTAGGACGAGCATCCATGATATGATAGGATCCTGCGATGCATTGCTGCATGGTGGTTGTCGGCACAGCATCGGACTAGTTCTGTTGGCCTTGGACAGGCTTCCTGCAGGAGGACATGCTGGTTGCTATACTGCCTTGAATTTCAGCTTGTCACTTCAGATCATGCAGGGTACCTCATCCGTGCGGGCCTCCACGCGTCTGAAGAACTCCGTCAACTTGCCGAAACCTTATGAACCTGGCCGGCAGTTTGAGCACGCGAGCGCTGCTCGGAAACATTGCCACACTGTACTTGCGATGGCAGGTTGGACGAGCTTGTCAATACCTGCAGGCTGTTATCTAGCAGCTTCATGTACACATTTGATTATTTGTAGGCATCCAATCGTGTTAGACCCGAGGTGAAGCAGATCGCCGTTCCAGACCAGGTCCATTTCCACGCCTGCGAAAATCAAGGGGGCCAGGAGCAGCGTGCTTGGTTTTCAAATGGCGCGCCTTTGCCGACCGGATGCTGGATCGACGTGCCTTAATCTCAACTGAGGTTGGAAGCAGGCGAGCAAAGCAATATATTGCATGTATAGTGCCAAAAAGCTCGAGTCAGGGCGAAAGACCAACACCACATGCGCAGAGCTCATAGCGGACAGGCCTTTGTGTTGACGCAGCTCCCAGGTGGGTGCAAGTGGAAAGGGGGCGGGCGAGGAACCTGCGGCGCGCGGGTTGCTGCGGTGGGCTCTCTGTCATCCAGGACGGTGCAGCGCGTCAAGTGGTGGACAGAAAGGGAGGGCTGGTTCAAAGGCAGTCAGTGGCTGGCAGGCAGGTGCGGCCCAGCGGCCTCCAATGTCCCGTCCCGTCAACCCTGCCCACCGTCACCGACTGCCCGTCCCCATCGCATATGCCCCGGCTTCCTCCCCGCCCTTGACGCTGGAGACGCTAGACCCAGTCAACCCAGTGTACTTTCCTGCTTGTATCCAAGCTGCTTTTGGGGGCCCATCTGAAGCGGGCAGGTACTTCCCAGGCTCCCGGCTACCTATCTACCCTTGGTGGTACGAAGTGCACATGCACACACACACACACACACACACACACCACCCACTGAATGAACCTCCACCAAGCAGGCAGCGCATCGGAGAACCCCCGGACCTTCTTTTCTCTCCATTTCCCTCATCCCATCCATTCTTTCATCCACCTCTCCTTCCCGTCTCCCCCCTCTGCTCCTACTCGCTTCTTCTCTACATTACCTTCTGGTCCCTTTGGCAGCTGTGTACCAAAGTCTCGGTAGTCCAGTGCAAGAACTCGGCGCCTCTGGTCTGGTCTGTTGTCCTGGTGCCTGCCTTTCACTTCAAGGTCACAGCCTGCGTCTGTCATTGAATCGACCACCTGAAGAACGTCCAGCGGCATTCGACAATGGTTCTCTAACAACAACCCCTCGAGCTCTGAGCGCTACCTCGTGTTCTCGTGACCATTCGTCTCTCACGACGGCCAGAGCTCACCCAAACAATCTATCTCGAGATCCAACAACACTGCGACAAACAACCCTCGGTGCATCCTCAGTGCTCAATCTTATTGACACACGTCTCTCTCACCTACGCGGCGACCAATTGCTACCTACGAACGACATTGGAATCTCTCCCCTGTTGACTTTTTCTTTTTGCTGCAACTCGTCTTTGGCGCAACAAAATCAGCTCAGCAGCATCTGTGAACTGGATTAGACTGCGCTTTCTGCCTGCAGCGGAGCCGAACTCAACCTGACGTGCGTTCGCCGGTTGTGAGAGAGATCCTGTTCTGGGGCCCCTAGCTTGCGCTCCGCCAAATTTCATCCGCCTGTCCACTCTTCCTAGGATTTCCCTTGGTGTGGTGTCCATTGCAAGTCTGCAATCTTTAGCCGTCACCATGACACATGTTTCAGAGCCTCAAGAAATTCACAAACGGAAGCGCGATGCGGACGATGCTGGCAGCCAAAACAACTCAGACCGCATCCCTCAACCGCCTCCGCCGCAATCTGGTATGTAGCAGCGGCTCACACTATTGTGTTTGCGACCGTCTTTCATCTTGTCTTGCCCACATGAGCCCTCCAATCCGATGCAACGCACCCATCATGCACCTGAACGGCTATCCACCGCGCGAAAAGCATAGACCCGTCATCCAATCCTCGGGTCTATCATTGATTCTTGGCGCTCCGGGCCGGGCGTGCTCGGCTCCGGGCGTGACGATGTGCCGAGGCTTTGACTTGAACTCAGCAAACAGCCAGCCTTGAATGTTGGCTGCCTCACGGATACTCGCCACTGTATTCAATCAGCCTTATGGGGACGCAATACATCTTGTTGAATGAAACCCGGCTAATCTATCTTTCCAGGCAACTCGTTCCTCATCAATTACCTGACCAAGTCGAGCACCGGAAGACTGGAGCTCATTCCCGGTGACGCTGACACATTTTCCGATGTTCTTGGCCTTCTCAACAGTTATGAAGGTGCGAATAGAACCCAGCTATTCCCCTCCTTGTTCGATCGTAAACTAACACCAGCCAGGGGTGCTGAACAGGCACGAGAGCCTGGCAGCCAACCTGGGTGCCAAGCTCACGGGCCCTCGCCTGCTGAGGGCCATGGAGGGTGTCTTTGAAGGGCCCATCATTGCATCTCCCGCATCTCCATACCATCATCAGCACGCGCCAATAAGCTGGCTCGATATCGTCACGTTCGCGCGATCAAACTCGGACAAATTTGTACTGACCACAAACGCTGATGGTGAGCGATCGTGCCAGTTCTTCCTCAATGGGTCGCAGGTACAAATCCTTGAAGACGATTGGCGACTGATAGTGAACGGCACCCTTGACCGATTCTCCATTGCCTCAAACGCACCGCTCGAGGAAGACGAAACGGCCGAGCTGGCGACGCTGGACATTGTTGAAAAGAGGTTACAGGTGCTCATCAAGAAAGCAGACGAAGTCGCCAAGAGGGCCCGTCAGCTGAATTATCACCTAAGCGGCCGGAAAGCCGCCATCAACTCGAGACACAATAGCAGCTCACACTCGCCCGGATTCCATCCTGTTTCCTCTCCACACCGACATGGCGGTCCAGGGCCAAGCTACGATCTTCGCGCCGACCTCTTGCAACAGTTTACTGCTTTCAGCGTTCAGTCATTGGCACAGCGGACGCCACCTGGTCATTCTCACGATGCTGGTCATATCCTTCACAACTCGACTAGCACCTCGGATCATCGTCAGCAACTACCGACGCAGCCTGGTCGATCCCCTTTACCGTCCGCTCCACCTGTGCACCGGAGGGACTCTTTCGACCCATCCGCAGTCCACCGCACCGCGATGACCTCGCGCATAGAAAGACTCGACAAAGGAAGCCCAATCTACCCACCATGTGACCGTTGTCGACGACTGAAATCGCCCTGCATCAAGCATCTCACGGCATGCCAGGGTTGCACCAAAAAACACGCCAAGTGCTCTTGGAAGACCATCACAGAGCGCGAAATTGCATGGCTCGAACGGGAAGAGAACAACGCGGGGGACGCTGAACTGGAAGGCAGTGGATCTGGTTCGGGTCACGCGACAGGGTTGAAATATGACGCGAGCCACGATGAGCAGCGCCACACGACGGATGAGTCTGTAGGCTCGCCACCAGCCCGCGGAGAGAGCTCGAGACCGGGCAGCAGGGGAAGCCAGCCTACGATACGACCACCTTCTCCAACCGAAACGGTAGAGAAGAGGGCACCACCGAATAGTCTGCCGCAGATCCGCGTGTCCGTCTCGCCCTCGGCATCCAAGCCGTGGCCAGCAGATATACTTCACCGTGACGATCATCCGGGCCCACACAGAGACCATGCTCGGCTGAGCCATATGGCCTCGGTAGCCACGGCAGCAGCGGACGCTCGAGATGGTGTCGTCAGGCAAGCCCCTTCGCCAACAGGGCATTAGATTAATGGAAATCCTGATGCTGAGGTCAAGTGGAAAATGAGATGTACACAGAGAACACATCAATCACGTGGCTATGTCATGTCAGGCTGAAGCACAGGGTCCTCACAGATAGATCTCACAGGTGGCGTGGTGAAGACGATCATGGGACATGGGCAGCCTGTACATATGTTGAGAGAAAAACGAAGTGAGAAATACGTATCAAAATCAAGTTTATGCATGAACAATCATAAACGCAGGCTCATGCAAATGTATGCCCCTGAAAGTGAAGGCTAGGCCAATCGTAATGCATGCATTCCAGGACCTCGTCACACCGACACACACCGAGTGGCGTGGATGTGTAGGCACACCGCCTACCACTCCTGCCCATCCCATTGACGCACGGGCCAAGTCTTATGATGACACAGCCCAGTCGATGCGCGGCGCGTCGTACAGGGGAAAAAAAGACTTGATGATTCCGGGACCCTGATCCATATCTCGACAAACCCCATGGCACCACAAGTCCCGGTCAACTCACCCAGAGATCACGACAACATCTCTTTGTGCCCGCAAATCGCACCGAGATAGATCATAAAACTCTTTTTCCCAACGACCGCGACTCACATCACCTCGCTTTTGTCTCCGTCTTGTCTCGCCACATCGATGGCCCACTCCTTCTCGAAACCAGACTTCATGGCAGGTCCTGGAGACCGCCATGGCAGGCCAACCCTTCACAGCCCTCAACCAGACACGGCATCCTTCATCACATCTCGAGAGACTGGCGATGTGTTTCCCGACACTACACAGAACCCAGCGATTGTAACCCAGACATCGCCGTTTGGAAAGTCATGGGTCCATTTCCTGGCTGGAGGGTAGGCTCTGCCCCTTGCCCCTTTTTCTCCTCATCGCCAGACAGCTAACATGCCTCTAGTGTCGGCGGCATGACATCGGCCGCCCTTACGGCGCCTCTTGACGTTCTGAAGACACGCCTCCAATCCGACTTTTACCAATCTCAGCTGCGGGCCTCTCGTCCTGCTGTTGCCCTCAATCCGTTTTCCGCCGCCGCCTTCCACCTTCGCGATACCCTATCCATTCTCTCTTCTGTCTACAAGCTCGAGGGCCCGCGGGCCCTGTTCAAAGGCCTCGGTCCGAATTTGACAGGCGTCGTCCCGGCGCGCGCCATCAACTTCTACACCTACGGCAACGGCAAGCGCCTCATCGCGCAGTACGCCAACGACGGCAAGGAGGCGGCTTGGGTGCACCTCTGCGCGGCGGCCGCGGCGGGCATCGTGACGAGCACGGCGACGAACCCGATCTGGATGGTCAAGACGCGCCTGCAGCTCGACAAGACGATCGTCGAAAAGGCGGGCGGCGCCGCGACGCGCCAGTACCGCAACAGCATCGACTGCATCCGGCAGGTGCTGGGCACCGAAGGCATCCGCGGCCTGTACAAGGGCATGAGCGCCAGCTACCTCGGCGTCACAGAGAGCACGCTGCAGTGGATGATGTACGAGCAGATGAAGCGCTACCTGAAGGAGCGCAACGACAAGATTGTCGCGAGCGGCCGCGACAAGACGGCTTGGGACACGACGGTCGATTGGACGGGCAAAATCATCTCCGCTGGCGGCGCCAAGTTTGTGGCCGCCGTTATTGCATACCCTCACGAAGTAGGTTTCCTTGCCTCCCCTTGCCCGCCGGGATGGCGTACAAGACTCTTTTCTCTAGACTGAATCACGTGTGCTGACATGCCACAGGTCGCACGGACAAGGCTACGACAGGCGCCCGAGGCCAACGGCCGGCTCAAGTACACCGGTCTCATGCAATGCTTCAAGCTCGTGTGGAAGGAAGAAGGCTTCATGGGCCTTTACGGCGGCCTGACGCCGCACCTGATGCGGACGGTGCCGAGCGCCGCCATCATGTTCGGCATGTACGAGGGCATCCTCCGGTTGTTCGACGTGCCGTCCAATGAAAAGGAATGATCGCAAACGGCAGGAAAGGGGGAGAAGCACAATTGCGACGATAAAACGACTTTGTAATACGAGCCACACCGCCGCCCGGCCTGCGGACACACAGATACACTTACACACACACCTCCACTTCTCCACGATATCCTTCTCGCACAACACTTCTTCGATCACACCTCTTTTTGTACATCACCACAAACCACTTATTCTGGAAAAAGATAAAATCAGGCACCGGTCATTGAATCCGGAACAGGCAGCAGATGGGGCATGGAAACCGCACGGGGGGATAAGGCTTTGCATTGGGGCACCAGAAAAAATTCCGGCGTTGGGAGATTCTCCACTCGAGAGAGAAAAGGGAGAGAAAGAGAGAATTGTGTACATTGGAACCAGTTTTGTAACACCACACTTGTTAGGAGTAGAGGGGCCGTCGGCTGGGAGAGTCCAGGCTTCTGCAAATGACAGGCAGACAGCCAAGGGCCAATCGATGCGAGGGAGAACAGCGAATGGACATATCCTGATTCGATCAATATTTTCTGCGTCGGGCATTTTTTGCCTTGCGTTTACATAGCATCGAGAGTACACACACTTTGTGAAAGGTGAGAAAGAATGGTTTGTAGCTCATGTCATGGCAGAGCTTTCCTCCCTCCCGACGCCACTTTTGAGAGAAAAACCAAGGAAACTGCTAGGATGAAGGCCGGGAAAGAGGAGATTGAACACGGAGAAGAGAGAGAGAAGGGAAAAAAGGTCATGCTGGCACCCCGTGGATTCCTATATCGAGCGGTTGAGACGTCATGTAGGAAGCTGACAGTGCTGCGCGGGGAAGAAGAGATGGAAGGACAAAACGGCCCCCTCAACCTAAGTAACACACACTCATTTTCTTTCCCTCTCTCTTACACACACACACACACACACACGAAAATTGCCTGTATCCAGATCCCTGCTCAACGTCCTGCCCCGATTGCATTCACCCTATTGTCCTGCCAATCCATTCACAAACAATGCAAGGCTCGATTCCTCGTTGGGCATATGGGCGCGCGCAACAGCGGAATTCACATGTCTGACGACGACACCCGTTCGAGCGGCGTGTCGGAGCGCGGCTGGCAGCGCGGCGCATGTCTCTTGCGCAGCTTGTTGGGGACCCGGGCAGGGGCGACGGCGGAGGGCGCTTCGGGCGCAGCGGGCGGCGGGGACGAGGGGTGGCGGGCGAGGGCGCTGGGCCAGGCGCGTCGGAGTTTCAGTCACCACGCATTGCGGTCCCAGTTGGGGTCTGCGGCATCACGTCAGCTGTCTGTCCCCTCGCGGCTGTGGAGTGCCTCTCTCTTGGTCCCCGTCCCTGTGTCTGCCCGCGGGCGGCTGTTGGTGGTGGTGGTGCTGCGGCTGCGGCGGCTGCGGCGGCTGCTGCTGCTGCTGCAGGACGGAAGACCGCCGCCTGCCCCTCGTCCTGCCGACGATCCAGACGAGGTCCTCCTGCTGGCGCTCGGCGGCGACGGCGGCGCGCAGCGACTCGGAGGAGACGGGGGTGTGCAGGGCGGTGGCCGGCGGCGGCGGCGTCTCGGGCAGAGAGCAGGAGGCAAGAGAGGAAGAGGAGGTAGAGGTGGTGAGCAGCGGCATCGGCATACCTTGGACGAAGGCGGCGAGGACCTTGCTGCCGGTCTGCAGAAGGGGGTGGCCGACGACAATCTTGAGAAACTTTTCGAGGCCGGCGCGGCGGCCCTCGATGACGTCGTCGCTGAAGCGGTTCGTGAAGACCTTGCCGGGCAGCGGCGGGATGGTGACGCGGGCGGACTCGCGCTCGAGGATGTCGCGAAAGTACTCAAAGTCGGAGTAGCGGCGGCGGACGCTCGAGGCGCGCAGCTTGAAGGCGGGGATGTTTGTGCGGCAGAGAATCTCGTAGTCGGTGTACATGGAGCGGCCCATGCCGTGGGTGCGGGGGTTGCGGACCTCGATCTCGAGGAAGTTCTCGGGCGGGCCGTAAATCTCGTCAAAGGACTGCTGACGGTTGTCGGGCATGGCCTGGAGGATGGGACGGTGGAAGGGCGAGGTCGGCGAGTTGGGCGACTCGGCGCCGCCGGGGGCCTGAGCCCCGTCCTGGTCGCGGGACGCCGTTTTGGCGGTGTTGGCGGGGGGTCGCCGGGAGAGAGGATGTGTCGGGGGGGGGGGGAGGATGCGATGGAGGGGAGAGGTCGTCGAGGTCGTCGAGGTCGTGTGTCGTTGGTTGTAGGTCGTAAGTTGCAGGTTGCAGGTAGCAGGTCACAGGAATTCCCGCTTTTTGGCTGGCAATCGGAAAGCAGGCGAGGAGGGGTAAAGAAAGGTGCCTTTATTGGAGTTGCCGGGGGGGAAGAAGCTCGGATGGCAGATGCTAGCTCGCATTACCTCAGATCAAGCACACAAGCTGCAGATGCGGGGGCTGCCTCGTACCTACCTTTAGGGAGTCGGTATGTATCATGTCATCATCACGAGCTGCAGCCTTGTGCATACGTCCATAGGCATCAGACACCATCGGCAGCAGGAAAGTATCCAACTTGTCCCTCGTTTTTCATCATGCAAAGCCTCTCTTGCAGCCACAGCGAACTCTTGGGCCGCTCGCTACCCCATGATCAAACCTGAACCCTCTCGTGTACACGGCGAATGCCTTACCACCACACCACATTGTACAGGCCTACACATTGTACAAACGTACACATGGTACAGCAGTAGCCCTCCCTTCGCCGGACCCTACTTGCGATCCGAAAACTTTTGGTGGATCGCTCGGATCTGGTCATTCACATTGAGCCCTTGCATGTGGTTGGGCCCCATGTTGGGGTTCTCCACGCCGTGGACCGCCGCCTTCTTCCGTCGAGCCTGCTCCTCTTCGCTCAGAGGCTGGCCCGTGATGCCGTCAAACACATCGCTGCGCTGACTTGCCAGCCTCTTGAGATTGTTGGCCACATCAGCCGTCGACAGGTTCGTCGTCGCATAACGCGCGTCGGCCTTGGCCTTCTGGTCCTTCCATCGAGGATCGAGCAGTTCAACTAGACAGATGTGTTAGCAGAGATGCGACCCCTTGGGTAAAAAGAAGGAAACGAAAAAAAAAGGGGGGGGGGGGGGGGGGGGGGTCAGGTCCACTCACTCCTCATGTGCGCCTCGAGCTCGTCCATCGGAATCTGCTGCTTGCAGTTCGGGCACAGCGCCATCGGCACCGCTTGCGCCGCCCGCTGCATCGCCCGCGGCACGTAGTTCTCCTTGATCTTCATGGGCCCGTTGCCGCCCCGTGCCTCGGCTCGCGCCTGCTGCTCCCTCGCGCGCGCGTCGCTCCTCTCCTGGATCCGCCTATCTTCCTCCTCCTCTTCGGCCGTCTTCCTCGGCGGTTGTCCATTCGGTCCATGTGTCTGTTGGTATGGCTGTTGCTGGTGTTGCTGCTGCTGCTGCTGCTGGGGTTGTTGCGGCGCGTAGCTGTTGTGCAGAGGCAGCGACGTCGCGTTGTAGTCGGTGACCTCGTCGGGCATGGCCTCCTCGATGCGGAAATTGCCGCCAATCGACGCATTGTTCCTCTCCTCGAGAGACGCGTACTGCAGGTCGGCGAGGTTCGTCGGCGGCGGCAGGTTGGCCTGCTCGTCGGCGTCGTTGAAGACAATCGTCTCGACGACGACAAAGTCGTTCCAGTCGATGCGCGCAAACTCCTCGCGCTTCTTCTCCGTCTCCTGCTCCCTCTTGACCTTCTCGGCCTCCTGGAAGCGCGCGTACTCGGCCCGCTGCCGCGCCCGCGCCAGCACCCTGTACTTGTCGTCGACGTTGCCCTGCAGCTCGGCCGTGACCTCCTGCTGCAGCTTGCCGCCCTCGCCGCCGAGGCCCATCGTCCGCAGCAGCGCCGTGTACTGGTCGACCTGGTGCTGGAAAAAGTTGTGAAAGGTGTGGTTCGGGATGAGAAAGTGAAACTGCGGGCTGCCGGCCTCGCGCTGCGCCAGCTGCGTCATGAACTGCCGCCCATTCTTGGCCACGAACAGCGCCGTCAGCCGGATGACGTCGAGGTCCTTCTGGCTGAGCCGCGGCATGCGCGCCGAGAACTGAAAGTCCGCCGGCTTAGGGGGTCCCTTGGGCTTCTCAGCCGCCGCCGCTGCCGCCTCGTTGGCGCGTCCCGCGGCGATGGCCGTGCCGCGCCCGGCCTTGATCTCCTCGAGCCGCCACTGGTAAAAGGCGTAGTAGGCGTCGGCCGTGTTGAGGAAGCTGAACTTGGGATTGGCGCGCTCCTTCTCGCGGATCCTGTCCTCGAAGACAAATCCGTTGCGCGCCACGTAGCCCGCCGTCTTCTCGAGGACGTTGCGGATCTCGCGCGGCGGGAGCACGACACCGGCGGGGGGCTTGATGTCGTCGAGAGCCGCGGCGGCATCGCCATTCGTCGCGGCCGAGGCCATGTTGACGGAATGCTTTAGCGGCTGGCAGTGTTGGGCCTTGTCTCAATGGGAAGAAGCCGTTTCGCGTCTGTGTTGAAGGGTCGGGAGATGTCGAGGGTTGTCGTCGGCGCGGGTGGTGGTTGGCGATGCTCAGTCGAACAGAGTGGATAATGTTTTTTTGGGTGCAGGAGCAAATGTGACGAGGATCCGATGCACGCGTGGTGGCCAGGCCGGCCGGAGCGTGGTCGACCTTGGAATCTGATAAATACATATTACCATGCTTGTAGCATCTCTATCGTTTTGGCGGGGATGCAGTTCCGACACAACTCCAGTAACCCTAACCCTCAGCTCTATCCATTTTCAAGATTTTCGGTATCAACGATATCTTTAGTCAAGTAACTGCCAACCTAGTTTTAAGCTACATTCAGTAGAGCATAATATTAGATTGTAATTCACCATTGAACATAGGCATTTTAGTGTAAGGACGTAACGAAGGGCCTCCCTGGGTTACTAAGGGTCGTTTCGCCGAGTGCGCGTAGAGTAGGACTGAAGAAGCGTTTCTGTGCACGTGTTGAGCGCTCCGCAGCAGCAAACCGTTTCACCAGGGGGGAGGATTGTAAGGCGTGCTGAGAATGGACACTAGGAGCTGGACCATTGCTCATCATAGGGCTTGAACTTTAGTGTTAGTGATTCCCATGTATCAGGAAACCCTAGATTGCGCTACGGGCGCCCTTGGGCTCTTGTCGACAATGCCAGCATGAAAAGCGATCCCAGGTCATTTCATGACAAGATTCACTCTAGCAGGCCTTCCTACTTGGCATCCTTCTTCCTACAAACGATTCCGCGGGCCAGCCTTGCAGAGTGCACTTTGTCCCCACAACATCGCCCCCCATGACAAGAGTGTGTTCTAGCAAGCAAGCATCAGGTTGCATTGACGCGCCGCTGAGGAGTCGACTTCCTGAGCGAAGCACACATCCATCGCCAATGTCGAGGCGGTTGAGGTCAAAGTTCCCCCGCGTGTTGATGTGCGCCACAATACTCGCATCATCAATGGCGACGCGATTGCCAATGCTGACGAGATCAGGCTCTGTAAGCATAACCGTAGGATGGCCATTGGCGAAGAGTGCACAGTTGCGGCCTATTCGGGACCCCAACAGACGATAGTACCACACCAGCCACTCTGTACCAGTGAGATAGCTTAATATGCCTTGACTGCGAAAGCAATGGCGGCGGAGACGCTCGAGAGCGAGATGAAGTTGCCATCGCTGACAGTACGATGATTTGTCCCAGTCGTAGTTGCCTGGGACTCGATGGCCGATAATCAAATGCTTGGCTAGAATCACAAAGGCCAAGGCGAAGGGAACCTGAGTGATTGTGATCACCGCAATGCTGAAGGTCATAATGCCCCAGATCCTGAGCGCTTCCCACAGAAGAACGCCTTGCTCCCCATCACTCGTGAAGCGTTGGGTAATCTGGATAGCAGCAACACTCGGCACGTTCCAAAACACAGCCGTGAGGACAATGATCGTGCAAGAGATGATCGTGACTTCCGGGATTCCGAGCACTTTGTAAGGCGCCTGTTTTTGATAGAATGCCCGGCTGAACGGAGACATGACTGATTTGGCGGAGTTGTCGTTTGTGGATGCGCCGTCGCCTCTCTCATTGTCGCGATCCAAACTCCCTCGAAGCTGCGTGTTGTCACTCAGCTCCTCGGGTAGGGCAAGGGGACTCTGCGATGAGTTTCCAGACTGTGCCCAGATGTCCAAGCTCTCCTCGTGCTGGGAGACGTCCCGGTCGACTCGCCTGGACCGCGCTTGTCCACCTTTGCGAAGGTGAATTGCCTGGCCGTTCCTCGAGCCAACATAAACCGCACCAGAGACGTAGCTCTCACCCCGACGCGATAGAGCGCCTGATCCCATGACAGTCTGATAACCGATATTCACACCGGGCTGCAAAACAACACGGTCCGCAATCATGGCGTTGTCCTCGACAGTGATGGGCAGAGTTCCCATGGCGTCCGAGGTCACCAGATGAGCACGAGACCCGAAGACGACGTCGTTGCCTATGTTCAGCATGTGGTAATCGCCGATGCTCGGCCCCGTGCCCGGCCAATAGACGCGTCTGCCAATTTTGGCTCCCATCGACCGGAGAATGATTGAAGTCATCTCGTAATGCTGACCAAACATGGAAGCCAAGCTCGACAATTTATCGTTAGGAAAAAGCGCTCTGATCAGAGCGTTTCTCCACAGCACGAGCTGATGCGGTCTGCGGCGAAAGTCGTGCAACCTGAAAACATCGTCCACGACCCTGCGGACAGCATAAGCAAAGAAAAACCCCACCACGGGGCTTAAGAGGACGCGAAGAACGAGTGCCAAGAGGTGGAAGCCGACTCGATGAGGCTGCGCAAACCACCTAAGAACGTGCCGAATGGAGTCTTCCACTTCATTGGGCTGCTGGATCACCATCCCAACCAAGCCGCTGAGCCAGGGAAGCAATTCGAGAAACCAGCCGGTGACAATGAGAGGGCATGTCAACAATAATGTCATCCAAAAAGCTGGTTCAGGTGGACACTCAAATCCATTCGCGTCGTCGCCATCAGAGCCTTCGTTCGCGGCTTCCCAGCTCGACGAGTTGGGCCCGATATGCGAGCCGGCTGGGATGGCCGAGCCTGGGGCTATGATGGACGTGAGGCCAATAGAAGCATTGGCTCCAATCTCAATGCGGCCGAGATACATTGACGTCTTAGCCTCCACCGCAAATGGACGACAGATGCACTTGTTGCCCGACGAGCCATCGCCCAGGTCAAGCAGATCCCACTCGCCAAGTTGACACCCGTGGAAACGAACGTTGCGTCCCACACGGGCGCCCATGGCGCGGAGATAGACATTGTGGGTTGTGTCATTCAGGCCGAATACGCCTTGTCCGCAGATTGAAACAATCTTCTGCACCATCCACCAGCGCGTATGGTATGATCCCCACATGGGGAACAAGCCCTCTTTGTACCTGCCAATTATCACCCACTTGGCCAGGATACCGACGAGAGGCGCGATGATGCGTATGCAAACTCGAGCAATCATGATGCTGACCACCAGGTTGACGAGCCGACCTGAGACTGTGGCACCAGACGACCAACGCTGTGTGGCGGTCATGCATAGCAGGAAGAAGGTCCATTGCAATCCTCGCCGCATAGGATACAGTAGGGCGATGGGGAGGAGTTGTAGTACCATGAGCATTGGTTGTGTGGAAGAGCGTGTTTCTTGGCAGGTTGGGTCTCTTGATGCAGCCTCGTGGTCTACGCCGATGGTGGGGCCGGATGTAGAGGTGGTTGGGAGGAGAGTGTCGATCCAATCCGCAAGCGACTTGATGCTATCGTGCTCGAAAATGGCTGTGACGGGCACTTGAATACCGAATCTGCGCCGCAGTAGTGCACTCAAAGCACCGGCTCGGATCGAGTCGCCTCCAAGGTCGAAGAAATTGTCTTCGACTAAGATCCTATGCGGGGAAACACCTAAAGCCTGCGAAACAGCCTCCTTGACGAGCATGACAGTCAAGCTCGAGTTCCTAGTCGCCTGCCTTTCAACAAGGTCCATGATTTGTTGTAAAGCAGACGCGTCTACCGCGCCGGCGGGGTCGACCGGGACACACTGGCGGAGCATCGTAATTCTTCCGGGAACCAAGTACGCGTCGAGGTGCTGAAACAAGTAGCTCTCCACTTGCTTCGCAAGAGCCGTGTCGTATGGGAGCGCATCGGAGTGGGCATCCTCGCCCCGAGCTGATCCCGTTGGCCATATGATGAGATCTAGCATCTCACCAACGGGGCTAAGCTGAAACCTCGTCTGGAACCTAGGAGGAAGCATGCTGCAAGTGCTCAAAACCATGTTGACAGCTGTCTTATCAAATCGAAGCGGCCGTGAGGGAATGGGAACTAGTAAGCTGGTATCCGTAGCTGGACAAAGCGCCTCAAGATGTCTGCTAAAGTATGGGAGACCATCATGGAACTCCATCATGCCGAGGCGTTTGGCGAGACGACTTCTCAATGGCTTGTTGGTGCTATTCCGCGGCAACTGGTCCATGTAGCAGATCATAACAGGCCACTTGGCTTGATGCAGCAGCGTCTTGAGGGCGGCATGAAGGGCCCGTAGGTCAATGCGAAGCTTTCCACTTGGCGTCACCAAGGCTACAGCAACTGTTTCCTGCAAGACATCGTGGGGAATGGCGAAAGCAAGCACTTGGTCTATCCTACCACTGACAGGAGTGCCTTCAGTTGCTGAAGCTGTCAGGATAGCGGTTTCCACCTCGGAAGGTGAGATCAATTCGCCTCCGCGATTTATGATGTCTTTGGTTCGACCTGTGACGTACAGATATTGCTCCATGTTCAAAAAGCCAAGATCGCCGGTATCGAACCATCCAGACGAGTTGAAACATGATCGATCTAGCGAGCCATCCTGCTGGAGATAGCCCCGGAAGAGAGGCTCGCCTCGTATACAGATACGACCAGTGGTACCGGTGGGGACCGGATTATCTGCTTGGTCGAGAATAACTAGCTGCGGTCCACAGCTATAGCCCGATGTCCCGGGTCGCTCGAGCGTGTAGTCGAGAGGTGGTGTAGATATCGGCATACATCTGAACTAGTCGATTAGCCTAGCCTCCTTTTTAGATCAATCAGATTTTACGCACTCTGTCATTCCGTAACTGGGCAGAACTACACTCTGAAACGTGGAGCGTAGTTGACTCGCAAGCGACTGCGGCAAATCTCCAGCGGCATTGCATACAAGCCTAATGTTGCTACGCCTCAAGGCTTCTTCTCGTCCGCGTCCAGCCGCCAGAATTACGTGATGCATGGTGGGTGAAGCATAGTACCAAGTTGGTTTACCAGACTCAACAAGATCCCAAAATCGAGACGCATCAAATGCCTGGCAGCATACAACGGAGCCCCCTGCGAAGATTGGAGCGACGATGTTCCGAACAAGACCGCCACTAATTTAATGTCAGCTTTCGGGCATCACAAACAAGTGTGACCGCTCGATTACATGTCAAGAGGAAAGACAGAGGGAGAGACGAAGAATGGAAGAAATGGACAGTGACTTACATGTGATACAAGGGCATCATGTTTATGCATGTATCCTCACTTTCCAAGCCCCACGAGTCAACCACAAGCAATGCACCTGATATGATGGAATGCAGTGTGATTGGAACACACTTCTTTGTTCCTGATGTCCCACTTGTAAAGAGTATGAGCGCCAGGTCATCTGCCTTGTTGGGCGTTACATGCAAAACGGGCTGGTTGGTGCCAGGTAGCGCAGGCAAAACGGTTCGGCCTTCATGATCCCACATCGTAAAGCCGTGGGCAGGCTCCCAGTCGATGAGCAGGATTGTAATCTGATTGATGCTAGCCCAATCGTCGAATAGAGACAACTTGCTGAAGAGTTCCCTCGTAGTGATAATATATGTTGCTCCGCTTTGTATAACTTCGGATCGGAACTGCTGCATTCCCCCCAACGGATTCATAGGTGCAGCCACATAAGACGCTGCAACAGCCAGGCACGTGGCGGCGAGTAATGGCCCGTTTGCTAAAGCGAGGGATATTACAGACTTTTTCTGTAGGATTGCTGCTGGCAGTCCCTTGTATCTTGACTGTGACTGATCCTGACGGTTGCTGCTTGGCAGAGAGAAGTTTCGCACGAACTCAAACAGCTCACGATGAGAAATTGAAACGTCGGGATCAGAAGTTCGAAGAGAGGGAGTGTCGTCGATTGAAAGAAAATCGGTGAGGCACTTATACCCCGATTTGACATAGGTTTCGACTGCTTTCAGAACCCAGTAAAGTTGATCCTCCTCAGCCGACAAGTGGACAGGGAGGCATCGTAGAAGGCGAGCGTAGTGTAAATGCAGCGGTGTAAGTGGCCAAGGACCTCGCCGATTCTGTAGAAGCAGGTATAGAAGATGGAGTGGTCGGTATGACGCTTGCTTGTCAGGTGGGATGGAAGCAAGGATGGCTTCAGGTGTCAGATCTGAATTGATCCATGCCTGGAAATAGCCTTCAAGGTAGATTTCGTGTGCTTTCTGCGTGTAAAGTGCCCGCAGCTCGTGAAAGGCATCCATCCTCTACCACAGGCTCGATACGTTTCCGCTGCTACTGCTTCACTAGCACCAAAGATGCTGGGACAGGTGGCTGCTGATGTTGGCGAGGTACTAAGAAGATGTCGAGTCGTGGCAGCGAAACTATAGCTGTGCAGTAACCGTGTTGCAGTGGTCGTGTAAATTATTTTCATAGAGGATTTTTGAAGACCATGATATTTGTGCTTCGTGAACAGGAACGGCAACTGGTATAGCATTGTACAAAAAATGGCAGCCTAAAGTGGCACCCGGTGCGCGTCTGTTCTGGAACTCGTCGACAAACACGGACAAGGATATTGTGGTGGTACTTGTTGTAGATACCATATTTAGATTTGGGCTAACGCGTGCCACCCATTCTCTCCATATACCGTCGACTTCGATACGAGAAATTTTATGCGGATTTTGTCAGCATTCTATTACCGCGAGCCCCAGTTCTCACGACGATACAGATGGGATGTTGCGTTGAAGATTTAGATCCTAAATCAGCGCTTCTCAAGCGGACCAAAGGTTTTTCGATTAATATGGGGCAATGCCTTCGGCTGATCTGTGTTGAAGGACTGAGCGCTAATCAGTCTTGAAACGGGGATGGGATCTACGTTGAGAATACCGTGGATTTGCAGGAGGACGTTTGCTCTGCTCGAAAGGGAAAGGGAAAAGCCGCAATAACAGCTCCACTGCTCAAAATAACCGTGAAATCGATGTACTCTGTCTTCAGTTTTGTACCCAACTTGAGTTTTTATAGGTGCTCTACCCAGGAGAATGCCAGAGATTCCGTGATCAGGGCCCTGAACAGCCTCAAGATTATTGCCTACTTCAGCTTTGGGTACAAGCCGCTGCATCAAGTGCATAGAAGCCACAGCATTTCTCTCTCGGTTTCCTCATGAGCTTTAGATTCCTAAACTACTTCAGCTTGGAGGGCAGAAAGATTACCACACAAGGGCCGAATGAACATCATCATTCCTCGTGTTTGCATCTTCACTTAGCATTTGCCCATCGCTGGATATTGGTAAGTACGCCCCACTTGATGCCAGTATCTTGGCTTGTACGAAAAGAGCATCATAAGCCGAGACTAGAGATGTCTGAATAGTAATTGGCTCGTGGCACGGCTCCCTTCCATAGCAGGGTACCTTTCCTCGGGGTATGCCAGCCCGGTGGTTGGGTTCGCAATCGCCAAGGTATTAGTCTGTCTATAGAATCTAGCTCTGTTTGAGGGCACTCGATCCTCCCGCTTAGTCATCACCGAGCCCTTACGTTTCCTCGGGTTGGGCCTTCAAAACAAGTTCGTGGGCCGAACTTATCTTAAGCTCATCGGTTCAGTGACAACCAGAATCAGAAGAAAAGTCTCTTCAGGAGTCGTTCCTGACGTCCATCAGGGTAGAACTCCTAACTCTCGCTCAGATGCTCATCGCCGAACTTGAGGCAATTTCTCATACCAATGTCGAGTACCACCCCCGGCTCTTCGACAATGCCGTGGAGAGCATTAACGAAATTGTTTCCCGAGATCGCGGCATCTTGGTTGCTGAAATGTTGCTGCCTAAACTGATCGGGTGGAATCCCCGCATACATGTATGTGCCCTATAGAGCACCTGTGTCTAAGTAATACTAGGATAAAGTGGTTGGGCTCCATGCCCAGCAGGATCGACAATCTACACCTTCTTCTTTCGTCTTGGAACAGCACTAAGCGATATGAGAAACGATCAGGGGAAAAGACATGAGCCTGGCCGCCTATGCTTTGATTTCAAAACTATTCTGTGTGAGGCGTGTGTTTAAAGATGTTTTTCTTTCTTCTTTCCCCCCTCATTTTTCGGCACAACCTCTTTTCCGAATTATACATTTCTCACCCGCGGACTTAACTTTGTACCGCGCCAGGCTTGATCGTTTCTAAATATGTGGTTCATCTGGAATGTAGTAGCATTTGGGCTACTTTGCTATCTAGGGGTTGCGACTCCCATCGATACTGTCGAAAGAACAAGCGAGGCCGTCTGCAGCACTACCGCATGCCGACTCATCGCAAACCAACTCTTGGAAGCTCTGGCCCCGAATCACACCACCTACGATCCATGTACCCAGTTCGATCAGATGGTCTGCGGAGGCTGGCTATCACGGCACGAGCTCGACCCCTCCGAAGCTTCTGTATCGACTCTTATCGAACGACAAGTTGAGAATACGAAGATCATGAAGACATACCTGGAGGGAAATGCATCTGAAAGCGCTTCAACAGCCGATAAACATATTTTCGAAATGGTTCAAAACATGTACAGGTCGTGTATGAACGAGCAGCGGCTGAAGGAAGTCAGTCTGGACCCGCTGATTGAGATAATGCTCAAGATCAAGCATTTCTGGCCCATCTCAAATTGTACGAAGTCCAGTGTCCAAAGCGATGAGCTTACGGATGCCCTGCTGTACATGTCACAGGAGCTTGGGGTTGAGCCTTTGATCAGCTCTCAGGCCTGGCCAGGTGACGACACCAGACCACAAGTTGTCTACCCTATTCTGGCCCCCCCTAATACGTTCTTTATGACTGGCTCCGATTTCGAAAACATTGAGATTATTGCCAGCTATACTTCTGCCGTGGCGTCCATGCTCCGGAGAGTTTCCAACATCTCAGTCGATTATGAGAAGCTTGCTGAAAGAATCGTAAATTTCGAGCGGCAGGTTACGACTCTGGGCGAGTTTATAAGCGAAGACGATGATGTGACTGAGGCAAGTGATGAAAATTCTGCCATACAATGTACTTAAATCCTAACTGACAATTGCCAGGATATTGCCAACTTAGCTGACTATAATCGGCATCTAGCCCTACACAAGTACGTACAAGCACAGGTTCCAAAAGAATACCAGCCGGGGGACATCTTGCTTCGTTCATCCTCATACTTCAGACGGATGTCCGAAGTCCTTGACAACACAGATCGAGAGACGATCCAGGGTTACCTGATGTGGTTCACCACCTACACTCTCATGGCTCGGGTTTCCCCCGACTTTAGCCTCCCGCTAAGGCGGATTCAGAACATAATGAATGGTGTAGAGCCTGAAAGTACGCCAGAACGATCGCAGACCTGTATTTCGCAAATCTCAAAAGAATTGAGGTGGAGTTTTGGACGAGCCTTCGTGCAAAAGGCATTCAGCAGCGAGTCTAAGACGCTAGGAGACCGAATGATTGGAGAATTCAAAAATGCATATCGCGAGCGTCTAGCAGCAACTTCTTGGATGAGCGACGCGGTTAAGAAGCGCGCAGTTGCTAAAGGTAAGAGTCATGCAAAGCCGCGATATTGGCGATTTTCGTCACAATTCTTCTCACATGATCACAGTGGACGCTATGGCTCAAAAGATTGGGTATCCTACAGCGAATCCTAATGTGGGCGATGCTCAATCAGTGAGGGATTGGTATCGCGGCCTGAATATCAGCCGGGGGGCGTATTTCGAAAATTCTGTGGCGTTGTCAGTTTTCCTAAGGAACAAGAACTGGCTGACTCTTCTTGCCCCGAAGGATAAGGATGGATGGTTGTTCACAGTACGAGACCGTAGCCCGAGCATCCATCACCTATTCACTTTACTGCAGGAGCACTAACTGTTCACTACAGGTGGCCGAGGTAAATGCCTATCATATTTACGAGCAAAACGAGATCGTGTTTCCGGCTGGGATCATGCAGTCGCCCTTTTTCGGCTTAGGATATCCCGAGTACGTCAACTATGGCTCCTGGGGCATGCTTGCGAGCCATGAAATCAGCCACGGGTTTGACAACTTAGGTCGTCACTACGATGAGTCGGGAAACAAGGTGGAGTGGTGGGACAACGCCACAATCGTTGATTTCGAAAAGCGAGCACAGTGTTTCATCGATCAATACGACCAATATCAGATCATCAACTCGGATGGAAAAGCCGAAAACATCACTGGAATAAGTACCCAAGCCGAAACCATCGCTGATGCTGGTGGCGTGAGTTCTTCCCCAACTGGTGACCTTTCTATGGGCATCAATCTGACAGATCTTGCTGCAGCTCGCAACATCGTTCCGAGCATGGAAAAAGCGTGAGGCTGAAGCGCCTAGCCAACGCCTCCCTGGTCTCGAAAGTTTTACACCCGCGCAGCTGTTTTTCATTTCCTTCGGTAACATATGGTGCAGCAAGTCACAGCCAGAAGTCTTGGAAATGAGCATCGGTGGGAGCCATCCGCCTGACCGTGCGCGTCTTCTGTACACGGTTGCGAACTCGGCTGGTTTCCTAGAAGCCTTCAACTGCCCCAAGAAGCATCCAACATGTGAGCTATGGTAAGCTTTGGGGCCTAATGTGAGGATGGATCGCGGCCCGGATATCCTTGATAAAGCAGAAATGTAATGAAAGCCAATTCAACGATGTAAGTTATGGCTGGTGGACGATATTGAGCTATCGAATTTGAACCCTGCTCTGTTGGCTGTTCTAAACAATGTAGACAAGCATGGGAAGTTCATCCTGAGGCTTGATCTCGGCAGTATCTGAGAACCCTGCGCCGTGGATTCGGTGGTGGTTGTGATGAGTGATTCATACACTCTCTGCGATTAGTAAACCCTATTTCTGGTCACAATATCACTCTGGCAGTGACCTACACCCTTCTTCGAGCTATAAACTTTCCATATTCTTCATCTGGCTCAACAAAGAAGCTGCTGGAATATCGTTGTTGAGTATGACATGATAAGGGTCCGAAAGCGGATTTTAAGCAGAAAATGAAACGCGACGACATACTTTTGAAAGGAAGGTGAGCTGAACGGGCCCTTGCATGTTATAGAAGGTCAACACCTGTCAGTGGGTGGTTTAGAGCAGAGTGAAGGGGTCTTCCACAGGGTCCGCAGATAGTTAGAAGCAGCGCTACCGCCCGACTAAATATACTTAAATTAAATAGTTAAATAGTAAAATAAATAGCCTCTATAGATCCTACTAAATAGTTAAATATAGGCCTATATTATAGTTTAGATTTATTAAATAGTTAAATATCTATATAAAGTTAGAATATATATATATTCTAACCTTAATACTTTTAAAAAATAAAACCTTAAATTCTTAATTATAAATAGAAGTTTATAATCGAAAATATAAATACTTAGAATAAGATTCGAATCTATTATCTCTAAATATATATTTAAAGGTCTTATTAATTAAATTATAAAAACTTCTTTTAGAAATAATTCTATTAATTTAGTATTATAAAGTCTAAGATTAACTTCTTTAAAAATACGAGACTCTTTAAATTAGAATTTATATAAATATAAATATAAACGTAAATACTTCTATTAACTTTACTTAATTCTTATTTAATTAATTTATTTATATTATTATTAAAAGAGCTTTTATAGCCTTTAAACTATTATTAATACTTCTATTATCGTTAATATATCCTTTATTTTATTTAGAGTATATCCGATTTCCGTAATCCTTATTTAATTTACTAAATTAACCTCCCTCCTCCTAAGTAATTCTAAGCTCTTAATTATAATATAACGTAAACGTTATTTTACTCTTAACTCCTTAATATCTAAAAAGGGCTTAAAAAGGTATATAAATTAGATTAGAGATTATAGAACTTTTATAATAAAGTTTATAAAATATATAAATATATTAAAAGAGAGCTTCTAAATATATTATTATTATAATAAAAAGCGAGAAGAATTAATATTATTTAGAGCTTTTATAATAACCTTTATAATTAACTATTTAAAAAGGAAATATAGAATAATCGAAAAATCTTCTAAATAATATAGTTTTTTAAGTTTATTAAATATACTTTTAATAAGACTTTTTTATATTTACCCTTTTATTATCTTAAAGAATTAAATAAATACTTTTAAAGAATTTACTTTTAGCTTTATTATTATAATAAATTAAACTTTTAATATCTTTAATAATCTTTTCTTATAATAATTAATATAAAGTTTAAATCTTAATATTTTTAAGAATTTTCTTTAAAATTAAATAAATAAAAATCGAAATTTAATATATTATTTATATAAAAGAAGAAATAAATATAAATAAAATTATAATATTTAATTTTAAATATATATATTATATATAACTATTAAATATCTTTAAATCGTTTTATTATCTTTATAATATTTATTTATTTTATTAATTAAATTAAAAAATAAAAATAATATTTCTTTTCTTTTAGAAAATAAATAAATATTTATATAAATAAGAATATAGTAAATATTTTTCTTAAGATTATCTAAAATTAAAATCTTATTAATTATTTAAGTATTCTAATATTTAATAATATTATAATAAATAATATTTATAATTAAAAGCTTTTTTAATCTTTTAATCTTTTATTAAGCTTTAAAGATATTACTATTAAAAGGGCTTTACTACTTACATAAACCCTAATTCATTACTTTAGCTATACCTAAGAGCTCTAAATACGTAGGGTAGGTAATATAAGTCTTATAATATAATTAATAATTTCTCTATAGATTATTACTACCCTTATAAGTTAGATATACCTATTCGACCTACTAATTACGTAAGCTATAATCTATATACTCTTAGGAGCTATAAATCCGTAGCTACGGTGATTACGGGGTTAGTAATCCCTTAACGGGATTACTACCCTAGAGAGTTCCTTAATATTAGTTTAATATTAGCTCTCTTTTCTTTATAAATAGAATAGCTATAAGAACTAATATTAAGAGCTATTACTAAGATTAATAGGCGTTCTAGTATACTTCTAGTCCCTAGTCTTTAATATATTAGATCTACTTTTCCCGTTTTAATATTATTATTTAATAATAAGAGAATAATAGTTATAATAAAGGAAATATAGATTAATCTCTTTATTCTAATAGGTATTAGACTTCTAATCCTTAATACCTTAGAGTAATAGAATTACCTATAAATAGCTCTTTAAAGAAATAAATTAAATTATAATTTAAATAATAAGAATAAATAATTAAAGCTTTTTAATAAAGGAAATAAATAATAATCTAATAATATAATAAGTATTTAAATAGCGCTCTTAGAATAACTAAATATATACTTTTAATACTTTTAGATTATTAATCTATTAATAGAAAGTAAATATATTATTATTATTACTTCTTTTATTAACTTTCTATAGAATAATTAAATTAAACTACCTTTAAAAGAGGATAATAGAATTAAACTATTTAAATAGAATTAATAAATCCTATTTACTTAGATTAATAAATACTATATTCTATAGATCTATATATTTAATTAATAAAACTTAGTAATTCTATTCTTTTTACTTCTCCTCTTCTTTATAATAATTTTCTATTTTTAAGATTAATTAGCTTAATTTACTATTTAAGAGCTTTAACGATTAATAAATCCCTATTTTTACTATTCTCTCTCTCTCTCTTTTTCTCTCTTCCTAGCCTCGATAATACTACTTAAGCGTAAAGCCCCTATACCTATTACCCCTCCTACTAAGAGAGTAGCGAAGCGTAAGAACTTAGTTAGTATTAATTATAGGAGCTATTAATTTAGGATATAGTATATATATATAATAAGATTTATAAATCCTTTTACTTAAAATACTTAAAGTCTTATTTTACTAATAAATAAATTAAAACTAATACTAATAGTATATACTACGATTTAGAGCCTAAGGGTTCCTATTATTATAAATATATTTCTAAGTACTTTTATAAGCTAATATAAGCTTCTACGATCTTTATTTCTAGTATTTATAGCTTTAATAATTATTATCTTTAATCTAATTAAAGCGTTTAAGCTCGCTATAAAGTTTTTAGCTATTTAGGATAAAAATAATAAACTTATAAATTCTCTTTCTTTTTCTTTTCCTTAATTCTTTAATCGTATAATTAATTAATAAAGGGTATAGGATATAGAGAAATAATATATTATTATTAAAGGTATATTAACGATTACTAAAGAGGAAGAGGCTATAAGGGGTAATAACTTTAATAGAGATTTAAATAGTTTTAGTAATACTAAATATAAGATAATTAAGTAGGCTATAGCTCTATAATTCTTTAATTACTTCTAATAAGACTTATTAAAGTAATTAGACTTAGAGTCCTCGGATTCTAAAGCTTAATTATTTTATTAAGCTTTTACTTTATTATTTTACTATTTATAGGGTAATTATTTTTAAAGTATAGCTAATTATTATTAATATTAATTACTTTTACCCTTTAATTATTCTTTTCTTAATATTTAACTTATCCTTTAATCTTAATTATAACTTTATTAGAGCTTATTAGTACTTTTAGTATTTAATTTAAAGCTCTTTTAATTATTAAATTTATAAAGTTATCTCTTTTTACTATTTAGCGGATTTTATTAACTTTATATTCTTCGTAGCTTTACTATAATATTATAAGATCTATTATTAAACGTTTTTCTATTATTATACTTAATTAAACTAAATATTAATAGAGTAAATAACTATTAATATAGATAATTATTTATAAGAGTAGTAATTCTAAATATTTATAGATCTTATAGAATATCTATTTAAGGATATAAGCTATATCGAAGTTACTAACTATCCTATAGATTTCGCTAATTAAGACTAAATATATAACCTATTTATATTTAATAGATTATTAATAAAGGATATTATTATATATTATAAAGGTATTCTATTAATCGTAAAAATATTTATTATTAAGAAGGATAATAAATTCGATCTATAAACTAAAGTCCTTATTATTTATAAAAGAGCTATTAATAAATATATATAATTAGGCTATTAATAGATCGAGGTATATATAATTTAGGCTACGACTTATATTATCGATCTACTATTATATACGTTTATTAAGCGTTTTAAAGTCGTCCCTTTCTAGGTTCCTAGCTTAAGAGGTTATAGCGAAATTAAAGGCTACCTCTAATTAATAAATAGAGGCTATATATACGCTACGAGCTCTCTAAGCGACGAATTACTACTCTAAATCTTCTATCCCTAGAGTTACTTACTCTAAGCGATTAATTTAGCCTTTCTATAAAATTATAAGATTATTAATTCCGATTTTAATAATATAGTTATTAAATACCCCCTTTAACTTTATATTTAGGA